GCCGCAGCTCGTGAGTTTTGACCTCCGAAGCATGTGCAGTGGACATACTTCGGGATAACACAATCTGGAGTGGACACCAGTCATTTCCTGGCTACAGCTCGCCGTCAGAAAACCCGGCGTTCCTAGTTTACAGCTTTGTTTCCTGTCTGTAACAGCGATGTGTTTCCATGATGGATTTGGCACGGTGGCGTTAGCCAGGAACTCCTGTGGGTGTTCTCCGTCCGTCTCAGCTGTCTGCCTCGGTCTGAAGCTGACAGAGGCTTTGTCATTGTCCTTCGGTCCATGACAGGGGTTCGCGGCTAGTCAGGTGGTCTGGCACTGTCCCGTCCGTTCAAATGTCATGTTTTGTCATTACTTTCTTAGTTCCCACATTCTTTGCAGCCCAGTTTTCAACGGGCTTTTTATTTCAAATCGGCGTTTCGCCCGGCAAAAGTTTTGAAGAAGCGTGATTCATGTTGTTTTTGCAAATTTGACATTAGGAACTTGTGACGCTGTTTTCAATTCAAGCCTTTCTTGATCCTATACGCTTATCTTCATCTACACATAGATGAAGATAAGCACTTCATACACTTCATCTACAGCATATGCATGTTTTTAACTTTCAATGGATCTCCAACATGGCAACTTGTACCTTTACACAGGTGGCATTGAGCGGCTATTCTCCCTACCCCCACCGTTGTCTTTCCTCCCAGCCTGAGCTGTAAGCGAGTTGGCCGGCCGGCGCGGCGGCTGGTGCTATTTTTGCGATCCGGAAACGGAGCTGAGGGCGGGGCGTCGCCGGCGCCGATCCTCCCATCCTCTGCCCCGCCCAGTTCCTCTCTCCACCATCCCTCCGTGTGCCGAGTTGTACTGTTTGACCTCCGCCCCTCCCTTAGTTCACAAACAAACCTACCTCTGACGGCTGCGGCAGCCAACTGCCAAGCTCCATAGCTGGCCGAGCACAAAGGTGTGTGGTGTGTATAACAATGCCGGGAGTTAAATGCAGACCATTGGTAACGGAGCACCTACCTGTTTCGTTCCTGGCTCGCCACCCCCCCCCCCCCCCCACCTCCCCCACCCACACACCCCTACCCCACTCCACCCCATCCCGTTCTCCAGAACACAGTGGCCATTGTTTTACACCGTGGTGCGTCATACATCCTTCCCTCTCCCCTCTCTGCAACTTAGTGCCGGCATGCGTTGCACGCTGGAGCCTGAGTGAGCATAGGTAGGCACATAGTGGCACAGCATTGACACTTGGGTCAGACAACTAAGCCACGTTTAGCAATTCCTCAGACGTTTGTGAAGTCAATTCCAAAAAGGAGTGGCATCCCGCGCACAGTGCAGAAATTGATCGACGCTACCTATCGCCGTCTTGGTATCGTTCTGTGTTTTTTATGCATGCTCGGTGATAGCCAGAGTGCGTTTTCAAGTCCTGGCCGCCCACTGCACTGTCTCCGCACGGCGACTGTCAGACGGATGAGCTCATACGCTGATGTCATGCATCCGTCCGCTAGTGTTTGTGTTTGCAGTGAGCATTGCCAGTCACCCAATGCATCGTGACACTGCGCGAAAACATTGGCCAGTCAGTATTAGCCACGTATGTATTCATGATTTGACGGTCAAACAGTACGACAAAATAGCCGCATCGAAACGCATCGGAATCTGAACTTTATATTATGTGTCCGAGCAACTTAAAATCAATATTATAAGCGGTATTCATACAATATATTCGTATATGTGTGTAACATCTGTATCTGTAATGTATGACTCATGTTCATCCGTCGTACATCCTACTAAACAGCACTAACATAGCAGTCAGCACCCTTCAGGATTGCGTGACGCCTCGTCAACAGCTCCGCTACATAATCTGCCCGTAATAGGGCACAGGTGTAACCTTCCCTGATCCGTTGCTGCAAAGCCTATGTTGCGTATGCGGGTGTCACTGTTAGCTGTCGCGGTATAAGCTGATTGCTGGAAGGGACGGAAGGAGCAATGCCACAGGTGTCGCTAAATGAGCTTCTTCGTTCTTTTGCGTTTTCCAACCCGTTTATTTTGCATACGAGTCGTGCCTTGCATGTGGTTTGTATCAATATGGTATCAATAATTTTTGTACGTCCTGCTAGTTATCTTGTTGATGTCGTAGTTCTAGTACCTAAAGGTCAAATTGGTCTCCTGGCTAGCATTCCATTCGCGACCAATGTTTAGCCAGCTTATTTCCAGATGGTAAATAACTGACCTTAGCCATGTGACTGTCAGCGATCGGTCGGCTGCCTGTGATGCCGTACCCAGCCACCGGAGACGTGCTGAACCATACATGACCTGTTGCATCAGATGACTTTGTAACTATATAGGGCAGGGAAGCTCCTATCACAATATTTGCGATACCGTTTGTTATGGTCGATTATAACAAGTTTTTTTATTTTTGGGAACACCATGTGGCAATATGTGTCCCAATCGTAACCATCTTTTTTATAAGGCGGCCACTGTCGGCAATCATAGGTAGTTAGGTTGTGAGTTAGTTAAATATAAGTCGTTATGAGACTGTAATTCGTTCGTGTTGGCAAGCCTGGCCGTCACTTGCCTAAAACCGTGTCCAAAACAAAACGACTGTCGCTCGGTTTCAACAATAGCGTTGACAATGAGTTAATGGAGGACAGACGTGCAAGGTCGTTTGGCATAATGGCAGCTACGCCAGAACGGCGGTACTGCTGTCAATACTGCGCTGGTGTTCTGTTAGCACGCGGCGCTGCTGTCAGCACTGTAGCATTGTATACTGTATAGCGAAGAACGGTAGCGCCAGCACACCGCCGTGAGCCAAACGCCGGCGGTGGTCAGCACAGGACGTGACGTCACTCACCGGACGATGACGTCACCCGCGGGACGATGACACGTGACCTATCTGTGATGGTGAGGGGTGTCAGGCGCAGAGTGGAGGGGAGAGGTCACCGGACGGCGTGACCTCTGGCCTTTTGGACACTTGGACAGTCATGGCCGACTGGGCATTGGCGAATGATGCAGTGAAATTTTTACCTAATAGCTCTCGTCATCGGGGCTAGAGTGATCACTCAAACCTCAAGTCAATCCTCCTTATGCATACAATTCTTCTACAGCATTCCCTGTACTTCTTGTTGTCCCCTTGCTTACTGCGTCTTGCTGAGTCTAACCTGCCGCATGGGACGCATCGCTCCTCACAGAGGGCAACTGGTGATGACGGCGGCAGGCTAGGACGCGGGAGCTGATATTTGTTTATCTTTTGGCACGTTATGTGTTTGGACTGGCTCCGAGCCGGCAGCTGTGGGGAGTCCGTCTGACCTGGTCCCGACTGACCTGGTCCCTCAGGTGGAACGAGGTCATTATAAGTCCAGTATACTAGGGAAAAGGAGAGACATATTGAGAGGAAATGTGCGCATGCTTATCGGGTGAATGTCTTAGAAAGAAATCCACTAGGTTCTATCGATCGACTTTCTGCCGCTATTTCCCCGAGCTGCTATTGGAGATCTATATCTCCGCCCTGGGTTCCAAGAGCCGCTCCCTCCCTCAGTCTCCACCCGCGCGGGTGACCTGGTTTGGCTCGGCGAACTTTTTGCCCGTTGTTTGTTGCCGTCTGGGAGCCACGCCTCAGTGGGTGATGGACCCAGCGCACTGATGGGTTATTCGGGGCAGTAGTCGGCAGTCGCCTGGTGTACAGAGGACATCCTCTTATCAAAACTGATAATGTTTGTTGCGGATAGCTTAGGTATAGGTAAGCCGCCAAACAATATATCATGACCTTGTATGTTTACAGAATCCTCTCCTCGCTTCCTCGGATCCCTTTCCCGTATGGATTGTTGCTGCTTTTTGCTATTTACGGCACTATGGTTTGAGACGTTATTCGTTATCGATTCATCACTAGCTTGTATGTACCTATCTGCTGCAGCATTGGTGTCCTCCGGTGTCCCACAAATCCCATCGACGGGCTTTATTCTGAGCGACAGAATAGGGACGGTTGGCTGCTGGAGTTATGAGGTTTAAGATATTCGCTTTGATAGGAATCTGACCGTAACTGTCGAGAGACCCGAGAAGGACATCCCTGATGTCCTTGAAAAGTGGTCCTTCCAGCGAAACGGCGCCCGCTTTCGCCACACTGACGCAGCAACAGCGGCGGATCGAGGACGAAAAAAAGGAGGAAAAATAAGTTAGTAAAATAAAAATAATATATTTGGATAAATGTTCATAACAAAACAAAAACAGACGTTAACATTATCACGCCTTTTACATTCGATCCATTTTCATAGAATATTTTGGAAATATTTTGCTAAGTGCGACACATTTCAAAAAGACAATGGCTGCATGCGCAAGCTTCAAAATGTTTGGAATGATTACATAATTGTTTTCGAATGCCTATCTGTTCACTCAACTTTGAACTTGGTGAGAAGAAATTATTATTTATTTTACCTGTGTACTGATTCATGCATTATACCGACTAAAGACATTCCGGCGCACCCTCTGGCTCCACCTCTAGTCTGACCGACAACCATTAGCCGCCTCCTACACTGCCAACTCCTCCGGAATAGCACTCGCTCGCTCATTCGTCAGGTCGTTTTTGTGCCACTTTTTGTTTGTTCCCAACTAGATGGACTGTTGCCGTGTGCCCATTCAGCAGTCTGCTGCAAGAAAAGTTGGTCAACGACAGCGAGCGATTTTTCACACGTACGCTATTCTGTGTTTTTATTCACGGCGTCTTCTACACCAATCATTGTCAGCGAGCTGAGATACCACTTTGATCGCTTTTCAAGCTGTGTGCCCACGGACCATCTTCTGCTACCGTAACTTCGGCGCTTTGACCTGTCGCCTTCCATAACCGTAACGTAACCCTCTTTTTTTCGCTAGGCGAATGGTGAACTGTACGCCCCCGGCTATGTCATGTCTCTCCCACATACCGAATTATTTGCTTTTTCGCCATGTGACCTCTGCTCCACGGCCATGTGTCCCTCTGTGTGACGCTCTAATTAACCGTAATCTGCACCTCTCTGTCTCAGCTGGTGACCTGCGTGGCTGGCCGACATGTCACACTCGATTACTGTGCAGAGGACGGTGACGACCACGCACCATGAGGGCACCGCCTTTGTGGTCAACACGGGCGTCCTCACCACCGGCCCGGGAATCCTCAAACTGCTACAGCTGGTGAGTTGTGACAGAAGATTTGACGAAATGCCGATGGGGGACGCTGCATGTTTTGTTCAAATCGTACGCGTCGAATTTGCGAGCTGAAGTGGCTTCTTCATGAATGGGTACCCGATAAGATGAATAAGGTCTTGTTGTTTTGGGCATTTTTCTTTGATTTTATAGATATTCTAACAGTTTTTCTTTTGGGGATCTTAAATACATAAGTCACAGGTGCTACAGTCAACACGCTCTTACTAATGATTTGGTGATCTTTTGTGTAGCAGCTTTAGCTATAAGCCACGATCTCCATCTCAACTCCCAACAATATTCCCACCCGGAGCCGAAGAAGCACACCATCCACAACAAAGACCGCGCCAGTTTCGGCGAAAACAGGCAAAATCAATAGAGCTGAGTGCTGACAGCTACGCCGGCCAGTTCTCCGAAGGGAATCCTTTGTTGTAGCGCTGACGTTACTCTCGCAGTTTTATGTTAATGATTTATCTCGTATGCTTTCAGACTGTTCTTGGAAATTGATTTGTTTTTGTTTGTTTGTTCTTTATCGTCCAGAAAATATCCCTAATATTTCATTGTGATTGATGTTCCTTGATATTTCAATAAAGTTACGAAATAATCATCTCAGTAAATAAAATCATCAGCATCCAAACCACCAATTTCAACCTCGTGGTGTTAGTCTAATGATGTTAACCTCGTATTGTCACCTTGTGATGTCACTGTCTCACACCCCTGATCTCCCCACAGGCCTGTGGCATCATCACTGTCGGCATCATGGGCCACCACATGGCCAACTTCGTCAACAGCTACGAATTCCGTGCTGATATGTTCTTCCTGCTGATGGCAGTATTTGCACTCATCACCACCTTCTGCGTTGTGCTCTCCATGTTCTTGAGCATCGGTACAGCTTCCATTCTACCCAGGACGTTCTTTGTAAGTGGTGAACTGTCTAGGATTTTTGTGTGTGCTCCTTCACTCGTTATAAGATATGCGTGAATGAGGCAAGGCTCCAATGGAAGGAATGTTTGATATTGTTCATCGTTACAGTTAAGATGGAAATTATTACTTCGCCTTTTTAACCTGTCTAGGGTTACGATAATTCTTGAAAGTAGGTAATCTCAACGTTTTGTTTTATTACTTTTAATCGGAATCATGTATAAGATTGCATCTACATTCTTTACTTTGGATTGCAAGTCCTAATACCCTTTGCATATATCACTTGTGGTTTGTTTACACCAGCCCATATCGCCACTGACATGCAGCCGGTGTGCTATCCGCCCGACCCAGTCCACTCCCTCCCTCTCTCTCATCCCCGCTCTGTCCATCGCCCGAACGTCCTCCCTCCAGGCTAATCATCACGTGGTGGGGTGTATCGCCACACACACGGACACACGACCGGTCACGTGACTGTGATCTGGCTAATGCATTCCTTGGACATGATCACATAATGGGCAAAACAAACCGTAAATTGTCAGTGTCGGGTTATTTATGTAATAAACCCTCATAGCCTACGATACGCAGTGTAGGAGATGGATGGGTATCCAGCCATACATACATAGCATTGATCTCGTCTTTTGAGTTATGTCACAACTAACACGAAGGTAGACTTCCCGGGTGTTTTGGCACGTAGCTGTGTTCGCGGCGCTTTTTGCTATATGCTCTACATATATCAAATATGGTCTCCGTAGCGTCTCGTGTCTTCACGATGCCATCCCCATCGCCACGCGGTGCCCTTGTACTTCAGTACCGCTGTTCCCAGCGGGCACTCTTCTGGCGACTATTTCCGCGACCCTCTTCGTCGTTCTGTAGTGCCCGCTGTGGTATCCCCCATACCCACTCGGCTGGCAAGTGGTGATGTACACTTGCATCAGCTCGCGGCAGTCTCAATCACCCCACAGTGTCTCAACGCATGGGCGTGGGAACCTCACGAAAAGTGTGTGTAGGGGGAGGGGGCAGCGAAACATCAATGTCACTTAGTGAGAGCTCCAATGAAGAAATTATATGTTATATGAAGAAATTATATGCAGTTTTTTTTTTTTGCTCATCTCACCTTGCTGAACAATTTCCTACTCTTGGTTTTGTATTTAAATCAAAAATAAAGATTTTCCTTAAAAAATAGCTGAAAAAGTGGGGGGGGGACATGGCCCCGGCCTTCCCTGTTCCTACGCCTATGTCTCCACGTTTTGCTCTACTGTTGTCTCTTCTACCTCCATTCGGCTAGTAACGCCGCGCTGCTCCCCGCCGTGTCTCCCGCAGGAGGTTGTCTACCATTTCATCGCATTCCTGCTGCTCTGCGCCGCCTCTATCACCTTGATCGTGAAGCTGACGGACCACTCCGTCTATCGCTACCGGGACAGGAACTACGAGCCCAAACTAGCTGCCGCGGTACGACCCCCGACCCGGCGCCCCGCCCCCTCCCCCGCCCCCTCCCCCTCCCCCGCTCGGAAGGCGCACTGTGGTGGTGGTGTTCTAGTTTGGTTAAGTTTTTTCTGCTTATTTGTTGTGAGAGCGAATGGGTTTAGTTTGGTGGAGGTGTGGCTATGGATACTGGATAGCATGAGACGCTTACTGGACGGCTTGCTGATTTGGCTCGCAGTACTCAGGACTCAAGAAACACGCTTATCTACTGGCGCACTTAGTCTAAACACCGAAATAATAGATTATCCGCTTAATGCTTTTGTGTGGCATGGTTGATCTACCTATTTGCTGTTGCACTTTAATAACTAACGTAACAGCTGGGGCATTCCACGATAGATCGTACCACTTTTTTTCCAATTTGACACCCTCATCTCTCGGAATTTGACGAGAATTGGTCTCAGGGGTAATCAGGGGCTCTGAATCCACCTGTAACAATTTCAGACTTTTCAGATAAGTATTTTTTGAGTTATGGTGTATAACATTTTTTGGATCTTGCTTTGCAGCGCTAAGTTTGGCGGGCTGTAACTCTAAGACGGATTATTTAAATGCCAAATGTTATATAACATTGAACTTGCAATGAAACAGAGATTAATATGTATTTTTGAAATTTCGAAAAATACGCTATTTTTGATATATGACATATCGAGTTTTCTTTCATTTGTATTTTTTGGACTTTGGGACCAAATTTTTTTGAATTTTTATTTCTTTAAAAAAATATTTGGCTCATTGTTAAGTACTATGCAAAAAATTAGGAAGGTGTTCTTTCTATAAATGTATTTATTTTACGTCACGATAACGGCTTCGAATAGTGATTTCGGGAGGGGAGCTTACAAATGGCGTGGTAAAGCTGCCTAGTGACATCACGGGTTACTGAAATTTCAATGCAAGTCTGATTCATCTGAAAAAAAAGTGAAAAGAGGGTTCATTCAACCCTCTTTCCTATAAGCGCGAGGGTGAAAAAGACTGTTTGGTTCTGACATTGTTTTTGACGCCAATGACCATAGCTGTCCGAGATGAAAGTTACAGGACGCATACATGGTGTCCTCCAGAGGTCTCACAACTTGTATATCTGGGAGTTTTTCAAGGTTACATGAGGTCAGGTCGGTCACGTGACATCACTGTAATAAATCAATGGGGAAATATAAAAAACTGTTATTTTGGCGCCGAGAATGATCTAAAACTATCCCACGTACATGGTATTGTGATTTCATGCACTCCTTGCAAAGTCCAATACTTTACTTTTGCATTGTTAACCTTGCGTGACGTCATTTATGACGTCACTAGGGTCGTACGAGTTTTTCGTCAATAACTCCCGATCAAATAGAGCTAGAGAGTCGGAAAAGCCACCAATGGACTCGGGAAGACCTTCCGAATCGAATGATATGCCATATGATACCCTTTGCCCAGCTTCGTGACCTGAGGGACTCTGACCTGACCTTGACCCGAGGTCAACTACTTAAGTTGACCTCACTCTAGCAAAAAGTATACCATTCGATGCACCTGAGCTAGGCGAACACAATGATGCCAAAATTGCGGCTCTGCGGCCATTTTTTGCGAAGTTATTTACTAAAAACCGAACCCGTAACTTCAGTCACGTGACCTGACCTCAGACGCTACCGGTTAACCTGAGACCTTAAAATCGGGTACCAATCGCTGCGACTTGTAACGGCACACACGCTCGTTTTTTCCGCGAGGCTCTAGCTCTATTAGAAGCGAAACGGCGTGCTGGGGTCGTATCAACCCCTCCGAAACCCATTTTATTGGCGGGAAAATGAGGAACTTATAGAAAGAACACCTTTCTAATTTTTTGCATGTCGATTTGCAATGACATGAAGATTATTTTGAAAAAATAAAAATGTGAAAAATTTTGGTCCCAAAAGTCATTAGAGGCAAATGAAAAAAGATTAAGGTTTTTGCTCAACAATGAAATTTTTTCTTTGGAATTTTTAAATAGTAATATCAATTTTTGATTCATCGCAAGCTTAGTGTTGTTTACTTTTTGTTGGTTGCTTAACCCGTTCTTGAGTTATAGGCCATCAGACTCACCGTTACATACCGAAGTTAAAAAATGTAATGCAATATAACTCAAAAAGTTTTGATCTGAGAAGTCTGATATTTTGCCAGGCGTCTTTGGGGCCTATGATTACCCCTAGGACCGATTTTCATTAAAATCTGAGAGATGAGGGTGACGGGCCTGGTACGATCTATCGTGGAATGCCCCAGCTGCATGCTATTTTAGCTAGTCAACTAAGATGGACAAAAAATGAGGAAAAGGTGGGGATAGGAAAAAGATACTTATTTTAACCTGGAAACTGCCTGGAGTATTGCATGGCAGTCAAATTTTTCAGATGTCGGAATCATTGTACGAGGGGAAACGTCAAGATGGGATATTTCCAAAGAAAGTTCTAAATTTGTCCCAAAAGTGTGGCAGATATTTGAAGACGATTTTGGCCTTCGTGGAAGTCAGAGATCCCAGGAAAAAATCAATCATTCGGGCGCAATCCTTTCTCAGGCTTACCACCTTAATCCAACTTAACCCTAATTACCTTGTCAAATACCCTGCTAATTGACCTGTATCTGTAACCATGCCCTTCTCTCACTACCTCGACCTGCTCTTGTCTGAATCGTCATGACATATCACAGCATAACTTAACTTAGCCTAACCTAGCCTCTGCCTTTTCTGATCCGTCCTGACCCAGCCCGACCAGATCCTGTCCCAGCCGGTCTGACCGTTGGTCCGCTCTGGTCTGGCCTTTGGTCCGCGCTGGTCTGACCGTTGGTCCGCGCCGGCCGCAGGACGTGCTATTGAACGGCGTAGAGACGTTCCTGCTGCTGCTCTCTGCAGCTCTCACACTCAGCGTAATCAGAGAGAGAAACGTGGGGTACAAATTTCTCGAGCCGGGCTACCACGCGAAACTGGCAGCGGCGGTGAGTCGAACGAGGGCTTCGGTAAAGCTCTGGTGCAACCTCCCATAAAATAAAAATAAACGGTCTTGGGAACATAAGAGATAAATAATGAAATTATCATGCTTTTATTTAAATGAAATAATTCATAATATAGATTACGTTTGCTTCTTTTTGAAAATTCAAGTCACTCCTTCACTTGCGCGGTGCATGAATTCATGGATATTTAATCCAGGCCTACAATGAAAACAAACCCGTCGGTTAGATTTGCACGATTACTAACGCATAGGCCGCAGTGCTGGCTCGCTGTGTACTCTGTTCGAGTAGGGCGATATTTAGAGGTCTGCCTGTCACTTATGCTAGTAATGTCACATCCGAGCCTTGGGACGACTTTGAAGTCCGATATTTTGGTATGCCGTCTAAATTATTTTAGTGAAATTATGTTCTATCTGAGCTAAAGCTCAAGTTCGACGAAAGCTAATACGGCTCTGCAGTATGTTGATGTTACTGTCTGAATTATCAGTCCCTCAAATTTATGGGTTACGCATTTTGAGATTGCTTCGATCATTGCATTTGCAAGATTTCTTGTTGGTGTTGGGATTGGCTTGATGTGACTAACAGTTGATTTTTGCATGCCATAAAACTTGCTAATGTGTGAGACGTGAGTACGTGCCGGCTATGCATGCGTGTTTTATGTTGAATGTTTTTTATGTTTCCTGTATTGTTATCCGCATGTTTTATTTTCAGTTAATTCAGATTCGATAAATGTGGTTTCGTTCTAACTTTCTGTTGATGTCTCCAATTATTTGTAATTGTCCCGACAGTGATATTTTTACTTGATGACAGTAACATACTCACGATTTTTTTGTTATGACGGTACATCAGAAAAATGGTATGAGAATAGAATAGAGGATTGTTTGCACAAATACGTAAAATGATCTTATTTAAAAATGATATTATGTAGGGCAACTATTTGCCCGCTATCTAGGTAGCTGCCGTTTCTTATTTTCCTTTGATGAATCTTTGAATAGAATTGTAACGAAATCGTTGACATATTTCGAGGATATTAACAGATATTTGTTTCGCAGTCGATCGGGCTGATCAACTCTCTCCTCTATTTGTGCACCTTCGTCATGGCCCTGCGCTCCTGGCGGCTTCACTAAGCATTGCCACCTGCCGGCGCTAGTCGGAACTACTGTCTGAGGTCCATCACAGAGGGCGCAGCGGTCGCCAGAGAAGACCAGGCTCTCACGCTCGCTAGAAGTTCGGTTTGTTTGAGCTCGCGAGTATGCGCCGATGGACATGCATTTTTCAGTGTCGTCTCGTGTGTATTCCGCTGGAGGACCTAACAGTGTCTTACAGCGATAACTTAAATGTGCTGTGCAGATGACCTGCGAGCGCCCGAGCTGCGCACAAATTCTGCAACTGGAACCGAAGCTTATCTACTTAATGCGCCTAGTTACAGTGTGCACTGTGCCTACTGAGCGAGTTAAATCGCCTGACCGCTGTCCTGTCTACCGGGCTAAGGCCACAAGAGTGCTTGTACCGGTCGTCATTTGCGCATAACTGGTCATGCTTACGTAACGTACAATGCTCGGAAGATCTAAATCTAATTTCTTCTCGAATACCTCTTTCGTGCCTTGCAATGACCAAAATCCATCCGTAAAGCCTAAGTGTCCAGCGCCATGACTACCGCGTTGTACACTATCTACTCAATGTTGTGACCCAGCGTGTAATGCACGAGGTTGAAAAACGCACCAGTGACCCAGAGAGGGCAGGCTCCTCACCGTTTCGTCTCGTTGCGCTGCTTCGTGCATTCAGAGGATGCAAAGTAACGGTTTAAGACCGAAGGGCTCTTGAATTGGGGCTTTAGCCAAGCTTCAGCGTTCTGCCAGCAATTGATTCTCATATGCTAGCCTCGTGTGGTTTTGCGTGATGTGCTCCTGCGCTGCTGATCGATTTACGCCAGTCGTCTGACTGGCATGACGCTGTGTGACTAGATGGTTCGCTAGTGAATAGTGCGCAGCGTATTGTGTACTAGAGCGCAGCGTAGTGTGTAGTGTTCCGCTGAGCTCGATCGTCGCTGTAACCGCCACCACGCCATACTGACAAATACACAGAGGAAGCTGCCGTGATGCTTGGCCAGCGTGTGTTTGTCTAAAAGACGCTGCGAATGGCATCGGCTTTTATGCTATGGAGGTGAAATGAAAGAAAGCGGGTTCGCGCTTCTGTGAGGTATGACAGTATTTAAATATCAACGAGTGATATGTCCGTCTGGCACAATGGAAGCAGGGCGGGAAAACGTTGTGAGGTATGGCATTCACTGCAGTCAAATGAAGCATTCAGCAGGGGATTGTGTTTGTGATGCGTTCTTGGGTAACTGAACATCGAAGCGTCTTGGCTCAACTTCTTCCCACGCGGTGCATGCGGTAGGTATCTCCTTCCTGTGCCGTTGCATTACGATTCAAGACATGCAAGCATACTTAACTATGAATAACTTAGAGCTTTACAGAGGATACGCAGCGAGCACCAATGAATCCTCACGAGTGCCGCTTTTGGCATCGCTAGCATTCACTGTCAGCCAACCAATACGCCTGTGCATTTTACCAGGGGCTCTAAATGGCTACAGTGGCGTGGCGGGGTTCCTTTCGTGCTTGTCTTAGACACCGGATGAAGGGAAGGGAGCTTGTGAAGGGAGCTTCCCCTATAACACCACGCACGTTCCTTGACCCGCAGTGACCTCGGCGAATATTTGGCATCGATCCCATGACCTTTGACCCGGCATGGGAACCAAACCGTCAAATGGTATTGTTCTGTTTAACGCGCTCTTGTGTGTAGTTCGGTGAACTGTACTGAAAATTAAAGCAATTGCAGCTCAAAAGTTATCGGTAGGTTCATTTGCAGGTATGTAGGTGCAAATTTGTTTATACGGAAGTGTTAATTCTTTTCTCGTAAAAACGAAAAAGCAGAATCCTGAAAATTCCGAACGTGCTTTGGTAGCTCACTGTGGCTTACGCTGAACATCAGTCGAATCGAATCGAATTTATACCGGTAAATAAATGAAATGCATCGCAAACGCTTTGGTATCTGGACTAAACAACCCAAATACCGCGTAAATAATTCGTTTTATAATATTTCGGAAACTCATACCTAATTGATGAATAATACCGCATCGTTATTTCTGTTTAAATAAGTTGTTGTAATAAGTTTAATAACTTGTTTAAATAAGTTGTTTAAATGTCTGGCAGCTGAGTGTAGGGTGCAGAATTTCGACAGTTTAGTCCAAAAGGATGCACGGCTAAAACGTTTCGTTGTTTGGAAGGACCATTCCTTCCGGCACCGATAGCTGTCTACTGAAAGTCTGAATATCGGTACCTGTCGGCGCCGTCCCGTCCTTGGAAGGTCGTTTTGGCACGAACCTGTCCTCCAGTGACGTAGCAGTGACGTCACGGACCGGGCACGGACAGGACGGTGAGCGGACGGGGTTTCCGCGTGGTAGCCATATCTTGGAACGGATGGACGTGGTGTCGCTGTCTGCAGTTTCCGGCCGGAACGGATGGAAGTGTGGAAAATGGAGCTGGTGGAAACACCGTGTCGACGTCTTGATAGATTTTGGGTGCTAGGAAACGGTTCTATTTTGTTTGAGAGGTCAACTATGACGATTGATTTCAAACTTTTAACGATTGATAAGAGTGGCCATAGACCCGCAATACGCATGAATGCATCTAGGATCTTTTGTATCGGCGACCCAAAATTATGCGATCTCCCCAATATAAATGAATGCCATAAGGTATATGTACAAGGACCTCCTTCTCACGCACTTCTTATTTTATAGGGTTTTCCCGGGCTTTGCCAGAGGCCGAATGGTCGATCCTAGGTCAAACCTGGCATGTTACCGTAAGAGCTTCGGAAGTTTTTTTTTTGTGTGAAAATGTAGCTCTGTTATGAAGCACTCTGTTATGAAGCTCTCTATTGCGCGCCAATTTGTAAAGGAGATGTTCAATTTGGGAAATTTGACCCTTGGCCTTCGGTGATCTCACTTTTAACCTGAAATGGTTAAAACATTTGGTTAAAGCATTTCTTTCATATTTTTATACCTTTCGGACGCTACTTATGAGTCGTCGCTAAGTGTGACTCAAGACAAGAGTAAATAGGGATCAATCCCTCAATTACTCTCCTAAATTTCTTGCTCAATTACTCCCACCACCACCATGCCACCACCGCCGCCGCCATCACACACCCACTCAAGAACGCACAACTAAGACGGCCAGCAAATCCATGGGAGTGTAGAGGGGTGCCCTGCTGTTAAATTCGATTTTCGCTCATTGGTGAAAATCAGAGCCACAGCTAGTCGCAGTGGGGACAGGCTGAGGACATACGGAGACCGGTTTAGTTCACAAAGAAAAGCCAGTCGGCAAGTGTCACTTTGCCAATGTGCCACTCACCAAAGAGACACTTTTGGGAACGCTGCAGTGGAGGTATGTAATACATAATAGGGCTATATGACCCAGCTGTGGGGACGCCCTTCCCTTTCCAGTAGGTGTCACTTAGCAGCAAAGGGGCTCTATATGAACTGGGCCCAGTCAGCTAGCGACGGCGGTCGGCGGGCGGTAGACGGCGGACAGACAGCGGCCGGGCGGCAGGCAGGCGGACAGTAGACGACGGGCAGACAGCGGCCGCGGCGGCGGGCGGCGGGCACGCAGTGTGGCCCGGTGACTCGTGGTGATCGCACGGATGGCGAACCGCTCCCGCTCGAGATGGAGCGAGCTCAAAGAGTCGCGGCACGTACGCTTCTTTCAGACGCCACTGGGAATCCTGCACCTCGTGCTACTGGTGAGTACCTACCCCGGCGGAGTAAATGCATAGGCTGTTTCTTGTACGTTTAATTTTACGGTACTTCTACGCGCGGTTTCACAAGGCGTCATTTTAACTTTTAAGCAATAGTTAACCAAACCCAGAAAATGATGGGAGGTTTATGTGGTGCTAGGTAGTCGGTCGCTCTCACCAGTCAGTAAAACTAATTACTAGACGGTTTGTATGACTAAGGAGGTTTTTGTTATCGAAATGTGTCTATAAACATGTCGAAGCAATTTTTAGATTGCTAGCTAGGGCTGCGGAGTCTGAGTCGGAGTGGGAGTTGGAGTCGGTCGGAGTCGACAGTTCTGCCCGGAGTCGGAGTCGGAGTCGCGAAAATCTTACCGACTCCGACTCCGGACTCAGTCCGGAGTCGCAGTTAACGCTGCATGGCTCGACGTCATGCACTGCACCTGTTTGATTGACGATACTGCACTGAAACTAGATTTTGTCGAAAAAAGGTAATTTTTATGTTTTGGACGAACGTTTTGAGAGAAAGAAGCAGTAGACGGTGAATGCCCCTGGCCCCCCCCTGGACCTGCTTTTTAAATCTGTGTGTTATTTTTAATGCATATTTGCAACGCAACGCCAATTTGGAGCGCACAAGGGATCGTTTCAGGCAAGATAAAAACATCTCCATTATGAACTTCAATATCATGATATGGGTATTAATAGAACCGTCTGGAGTCGGAGTCGGAGTCGATTTTTGAAGCCGGAGTCGGAGTCGGGGTCAGAGTCACCCTAATATCCATCGACTCCGCAGCCCTGGTAAGTTATCTTCCTCTTGTTTAAAAAAAAAAATAGAGCACTGTGCGATAAGAATCTCTTCAAAACATTGTAGCATGAACTACTCATCCCAGCCCTGCCTAAAGACGCTTTTTGAACCTATTATTGCAACAGCGAATACGTTTTACAAACGACTTGTTCTTTACTCATGATGCGCCATTCACGTGATTGTCACGTTTGGGCCTTTGGGTGTTACTGCATGTGCACTCGCAAGGCCCAAATCTATATCTCAGGAATGGCTGGATCGATTCACGTCGGTGTATTCTATCATAATTTGCGCCCTCGCGCTCAATACAATATTCAATAAGACGTCATTCTGATGCAATATGTGCTACACAAAATGCAGACATGCTGCAGATTAAGTGTTCGAGCTTGCAAAATATTTGAACTACTTGGACTTGCACATTGCCAAGTTCATCCTTTTTGCATATTTCAAAGCCCGTTTGATCTCTAAATCTCCTCACGTTGCCCAACTGCGTTCCGGTCTGCGTCTTTCCTCATCCCTCATCCCATATTCACGATGACGTCACTACCGTTTCCGGCCCCAGAATGCATAAGAACACCCTGTCCGGCGACAGGCATTCGGAAGTACCCGTCTGAGCCGATGAGTAAATCCCATCCCGAGAGAGTAAAGCGGCTCGACGCCCCTTCGACGAAGCTCGCTAGACAGAGAAAACCGGTTCTGTGTCGTCGAGCTCGCGATGACTCACGGGCGGAACCGGCGGAATTTCTTCACGCGTCAGGGGAAGGCGGCGGTCGGAGATGCCTGGGAAGGATGCTGCCCTCGCGCTCAGACGCTCGACACCGACCTTGGGGCTCTCTCCTGTCCAGTGCACTTTCACAGCTGGGTGAGCACCGGATGTGAGCGGTCAATGAATGTCACGGGACAGGGCGACTGGAGAATCGATACACAGCTCAGGCGAAAGCGGCGTCTTTTTGCGATGGATGCTACGCGACACGGTTCATTGCCTTACGAAAGCAATCGTTTTTGGTGTTATTGTTGTATGATCGATTGGCGTTTCTTTCTCAAAGCGTATTATTCAGCCTATACTTCAGACACTAAAGAGATGCGTGGTATGTTTAAGTTGTCCATGAAAGAATTCGAAGGTCATTTACATAAGTCCCGACGTCTTGTTCCACCTTGAAGAAGCGTTTTTGTGGGCGGATGAATGCATTAAAAACAGCGCAAACGAATCCGTCGGTATTTGTCATTGTTCATGGTCCGATTGTTTGACCACTTTACCTACGACATTGTTCTGTAAACCTGACTTAACCGTTTTGTTTTGTTGACTGCTCTTCGTTAACGGTTCATAGCCATTTGCTGGTCCAATGTTTAAATAAAAAGTATGTAACGTTTCAGCTGCACTAGACCATTTTTCATCAGCTGGACGCGTGGACAAGACTCAAAGAGCTCAAAAACTGCTTAGATGCAGCTGCGTCTAAAGGAACGCGGGTGGTAAACGGACAGGGCACTAAGTAGCAAGTCGATCTGTTGAAAGAGAAATAAACCTTCTTTCATGGTCTTCCGTAAAAAAGGCAAGCAGTTTTTCCTCATTACCTACTAGAGCATCCACGCTAAAGACAGAATTAAAACTGACAAGATCGCTAAAGCATTGTCGGAGTTAAATTTAGGACTCATTTTTATGACATTTGAGCACAACGCCTGCTCTGAAATTTCAGCCAGGCATCGAACAGCTGTATAACTCAGCAGCTCTGCATCCGCTTTTCCACCAATACCATCGTCTTCCAACAATACCCTCTCATACGCTGATTTCAGGCGCTGAACGTGCTCTGCGTGTCGTTCTCGGGTCACTACCTGGGAATGTACCGGGGCGTGCACCTGCCGGGCTATGACCTGTTCCGCCCGGAGGCCTTCTTCGTCATCTGCTGCTCCGGATGTCTGATGGTGACGGTGCTGCTGCTGTTGACGGTTCTGGCCTCGTCAGACAGTCATCAGATGCTCTTCAGGACAGTCGCGGTGAGTGGAATGTCACCAATGGAACGTCTATCACAGAATGTTGAGAGGGCCGGACGTGCATTTGTGGTATGATATTGAGCCATTGAGGTGATAGCGAGGTAAGGAGAAATGTAACATTCGCTCTCATTATCACTAGACAAATGATCGGCATCAGCAACAATGCGCGATGGGAAATAATTTCTTCATCTGAGTCTTTCCTTTCGCCTTTGTAGACATCACTCACAATGGCGATGTTATGTTCTGCCAAACGGCCGCCCTTCATTTCCCCTCGCCTCACTGGCTCTCAGGAATACACGCACCTCTGTTGCCAAACCATGTCGAACATTTCCGGCGCCCATCCCAGCTGTCCCACTCCCAGTCGTCCGTCCTATTCCGCCCCTCCCCGCGATGTGTCGACACCCATCGCTCGCGCCTTCCTCTTCCGTGACCGAGCGTCTGGAGATAGCGCGTCTTGGCCCGGGGCGCAGACGGCTCCGCTGGAGCGTCTTCCCGTCAGAGGAAACAGCTGGAGCGTGCAGAGGAAGCCGAGCAGAGGCAAAGACCGTGCACAGAAACAGTGCAGATCACAGATGTGAGGGCACGGTAGCTGAAAAGGCATGTTAATTTACGTGAATGCTGACAGAGTGGAGCTGCTTAAAAATGTATGACTCAGTGACTGAACGCTCTGATTACATTTTTCTCGCTAGATAGTTTGGATAGAAACTTTTAGAACCATAAATGTTTATTCCATTTTCTTGACAGTGTAAGGGAAGGACTTTCGATCGCGTCATTGTCTGCACATCTGAGCATATGTATCGGCTTCGCAAACAGCTCCGGTACGTCCCTGTCCTTTGCACGTCTCAAAGAACGCGGCGGTGCACCCCGATCACAGGGCTGTGTGCACAGAGCACCACCGTGCACCGTGCACGATCACACTCGTTTCGTGATCTGTGCAGAGGACGGAAGTTTCCGCGGAAACCGCGATGGCCAGATTTCCTGACGTGCTGGCATTTCACTGCTGGAGCTGCCGTGACTGGAGGATGGGCGAATGGAGCGGGAGGCAGACAATGGGCTGAGCCGCTGACCGCAACCGCCTTGTTGCCTAGGCCAACGCCATGAAACGGAACATGGATTTAGGACGGCTGCTATTCATGGACAAGTCGTAGTTGCATGAACGGTTATGACTTTCCCGTTTGTTTAGCAAAACCGTTCTGGCTTTTGTCGGGTGGAGATCCGTTTAGTTATTGACATTTAACAAAGGAGTTCATGACTACCAATTTATGTGTGAAGTGTAGATACGCTTACTTATTATAAATGATACTTGTGACTCATTTTATTCATCGACGACCTCGTTCCACCCAATCAACTAGCTCCCACAAATATCGCATTTCGCATCCATATAAGCGGCAGTCTGTCACAAGTGTATTCGGAACGAACCTATTTCACTATTTCAGGTCACTGGGCCTTTCCCATGAGAGCAGCTACCTGTCACAGTTCTCTTGGCTACGGCTATGATCTGTCAGTCTTCGAGCTCGTTTTATCATAGCCTGACCATTCTGCTGTCATCATCAAATATTTAATAAGCTCGAACATCCGTAACTCTGAATCGCGTCCGTGGGAGGGAATATTTCGGTCGCCTTCATGACACTTCAGATTTATATGCGTTTATTAGTCCGGAAAGATATTGATCCAAAAAGGCCGCGTATCGATTTCAACGTAACACAGAAAGGCCTGCTATGTGAACCTCTATGGACCTCTCCCCTTATCCATATCGTGTTGAACCTCTTTCCCCTTATTGACCTCTGCCACTCTGACCTCTGACCTGACCTCTGTGACCTTTTTGACAGCCGGAGCTGGCCTTTGGCGGCATGTCCTGTCTGTGGCTGGTAGCCAGCATTGTCTACCTGGCGGAGATTGTCGGCAGGAACATCGACTATCAGCTGCGGGAGCCCGGATTCCCGCTGAAAATTCTGACCGCGGTAAGTCGGGGGAGGACTAGAGGCACACAGATCTGCAGGGGTACGATTACGGACGCACGTTTAGCATTTGAAATGTAACCACTTATTGCCACTTGTTGTCTCTGCGTCAGCGCGAGGTCAGACTTTCTTCGCGACTACATTGTTTTTCCTTGTAAGAGTGTAACTTGCGTCACCAGTGTTTTATTTGAGGGTACACAGGCCCGCCAACAGCCATTTACCCCGATTTGGTTGGTGGATAAATCTAACTCATGTGTGCGTAAGGAAGGCCATGCTTTATATTTGGACCGCTGTTAATGTCAGTGTCGTCAGTCGTCACTCGATGATATAGTTACGACCAGCATATACTCGGCACGCTAACAGCTCATGCGCCGACATAGATTTGTGTCGCAGAGTAAAATGCATGGCATACGCTTAAAGGGACCCTCCCACCTTCAAAAAGTTAATGAATTGACATGAAAGTGATGTCACTCGGTTCAGAAAGAGCAAAAACGAATATATACCAAATTTCATCGAAAAATATTCACCGGTTTTCAAGATATTAGACTTTTACTTTTGTTTACTTTTTGGGATCTCCGCTGTTCCTAGCGACTTTATTTGAAAGTGCGGCATTTGTTGCGCGCAAAGCAGCATATACCGCCGCGTGCTACAAAACGTTTTAGTCAAACATTTAACGGACGTTCGAAAGCCTGATGACGTCATCAGATTCCCGTAATGGTTAAGAGATAGGGACCACGCTGGTCCCACCCTGCAAGTAAAGGGAAGAAATTTCTTGAACACCATAAAGCTGCGGGGGTTCCGACCAGGATAAATGGTGGTTTCTGAGCCTGGCCGCAAACTTGGCTATCTCAACTCAAAACTAATGTTAAGGTGGGAGGGTCCCTTTAACTGTAGATGTTTACCAAAGGACGAGTCAAGCAGACTTACGACTCCAGTCAAATCCGATTCAAATGTTGCCGCTCAGCTTACCTGCCGATATTTTGCTTCCAATTGTAAAACTAGTTCATCATTTTACCTGTAACTTGATTTTGTAATTTCTGTGTCTTTACCTGTGACCTGGCATGTGAGTTGACCTGTGATGAAGCGAGTGTGACCTGACCTGTGACCTGACCTATGACCTGACCCGTGAACTGACCTCTGACCTGACATGTGGCACATGACCTGACCCGTCTGTTTCTCACCCGCCCCTTTTCCAGGTTCTGGCTCTGGTGGCCTCCTGTCTCTGCGGCGCCCTGTGTCTGCTGTCCCGCCGACAGCGGGTCGGAGCCGTCACTCTGAAGATGAAGACGGCCTCTGCCGAGCTGGGGCGCCGCTCCCGTCCTCTGACCATCGAGACCGGTGCGCCGACTGTGGATAGCACTCCTGTTGAAACAACCAACGGTGCGCTGCTTCGGTCCGACCACCGTCGACTGGAGAGGGCGCCCAGCAGTCCACCGTTCGTCGGACTGGAGACGACCCCCTTCCCATTCGCAGGAGTCCCCGTCTCTAGTTCAGCGGTCAACCTGCAGATTCCCTCAGAAAGTGTGCGTAGATTGACCGAGAAGACGCTGAGTCAGTCCATCAGTCTACACCCAGAGTCCTCACCTCGCCTATCCGTGGCTCCCACCGTACCTTCCCCCTCCTCATCACCACCGATGCCGTCTTCGCCAGAATACGCTCGCGTGTCGAAACCTCCCCGACGCGCGTCGGGCGACTCGACTGACTCCTCATCGCCTCGGACTCGTCCACTGGCAAGCTCGGCGACTGAGCTGGGTGGTGGGAGAGGTCGAGCGGCCGGTCTGCCTCCACTGCCTCCCGCACCACCCGCTGCGGGTAGGGTAAAACCACTGAGTCGGCCACCGGCAGTGCCGCCCGCCTCCAAGAAGCCTTCCCAGCTGCGGACTCGCGATATGCGTCGGTCAGTGAGTACACCGAATGATGTGGACGAACCGCTGAATGCGGATGTTGATGAACCGACATTCGCTAGCTCAGGTCATCTGGATCAAGATCCAGCGAATTTGACGTTTGAGCAACGTCGGAAGATGCTGGAACTGAAACATGCTGAGGGAAGTTGAGAGTTCGTCTGTGACTTTTTGACATTCTGAACTGAAGGCTCAGGGAGTTTAAACTGGTGCACAGTAACTTTGGTCGGTGACAGTGACAAATTTCGTCATTGGAACCCGTTCGGGACCCGGCCGGTCGCGGCCTCAGCCGTGGGAACCGCAGGTATGCGGAAAGACAGGAGACACTCGACTCGAGAGCACGACCAGCACGGGTCGGGAGGAAAGCACCTCACGTGGCGGCCTGCGTAGGTCGCAGGGAGACATTCCCGGTACGGAGATTTCCTCTCATTCATGGTATCCCTGACCTGTATTTTCCAACTCAGCCACAGACTGTTGGAGTTAACTCACGTCTCACAATCTAGCAAAGTGAGTTTCAAAAGAAAGGAAAATCGATTTGACCTCAAGTCCTTGAAAATATCATATTTTCGTACTTTTATCTTTGTTTTAGAACGAGTGAAACGCATCCAGCTACATATTTCATCTCCAGCATTAGATGACCGTCTTATATCAGATGGACACACTACAAAGAACCATCACTTTCCTGCCAAACAACATCCAGGGTCAACCCTCTCGATCCGCGCCACCAACTGACAGACCCCGGCGCCTGTCCCTATCTTCATCTGTCCATGTGTGGGAGGGGAGCGACGCTGTCGGCACGGAGTCCTGATGACATCATGACCACGGTCGGTCGCGACGGCGCGGCGACGGTGGGGTAGCCTGAGGTCACTCAGCGGCGCCGTCTGACCGCGACCGTCTGGGGTGAACTCATCAACTAGTAGCGTGTCGCGCGTCGGATACTTTCCACACTAGTCCACGCGGGCCACTGTGATCATCGGTGGTTTAAAGTGGACCACACAAGCTCATCGAAGTCCACAGTTGTCTTTATGCACCCCCCCCCCCCCCTACAGCGATTGGCAATCCACATAAGCATGCTGCTTCATTCTTTAGCCAATCTTTGAAAAAGTAGGTAGTTGTCCTGTATAAAGAATAGAGACCTGATTCAGCAAGGGTTATGGGGCTCATTTCTTGACGAGGCCTAGGCTGCGGCCGGTGGCAGACAGCCTTCACTAGGCTGAATGATTTAATGGGATCATGCATCGCGCCCTGAGTCACTTGGCAAACATCTTACAACGATTTAGATCTGTTTATACCCGAAGGTTGTTCCTGGTATACTTGGGTGGTCAATCTTAATTAGCATGAGTGAATACGGTGTTGGTTATGTAAGTTTTGGCTGGCTTTGGCTTGATCTGTCCTGCAAGGAATTCTGTTGTCACTTGTCAGCAACCAAATTTTCCTGATCTCCCAGCCTCAGAAATGTCCGTACAGTGATTGTGACGCTGCGTGTTGCTTGGAAAGCTCTCCCGCCTCTGACCCGTGCCAGTCGCATTCCGTGTCATCCCCGGTCGTCACGGATGGTCACAGGGCGTCATGTGTCGTCACGGGTCACGTGTGTCACGACAGTGCGACCCGGCTGGTGAGAGCTCCCGATCTTAGGCGTTCGATCACGCTTCCTTCCACGCGGCGAGGGCACGAAGCGATAGTCGCGCACGTTTTGTGCGATGAAGCGCATCCGCGGAGAGCGTGAGATTGCGACGCTTTTTGGGTCAGCTTCGCTAGAGGTGCAACCCAGCGAGAAGAGGTCTGTAGTGTGTTCATTTGCGTGTGTGTACTGTGTATTGTTATCAGGCGATGACTGATGTGTCATTATGTTTATATCATGCTTTTACGATGACAGTAACTGACGAGTTGAGAGGACGCTGGGTTTCGTCAAAGCAAATAGGTAGACGCCTGTGTCATGATCTACATTATGTGCTGTCGAGAATGTTTGCGAATTTAGCCGCTGTGTGGCAAATAAATTGATGAGCTCCGTAGCTTTAGATCGCCTCTTGACTCATACGTGCACGCTACTGTTTATGTATGTTTAAATGGCCTTGCTGGCTCTCGTCTAGTTTAGGCCTGTAGTTTTTAGGCACACAGCACACGACCAAAGTCTGCTTTGAACAAGGATGCAACGAGTGATGATCGATGTCTGCACTTATGTCGCGCTATTTATTTTGTAAAGTAATGGTACTGTGGTGTTATGTATTGTGTGGTGCAAAATAGTTGAGTATTATGTTGATGGATGTGTTTGTATTTTAAAGACATCTTGCTGGCTGTTGCCTATGTACCTATGTAAATATTTAATTACGCCTGCCACCTCGCTGCGACAAAAACTTGCCCTTATACTGCCGAATGCACATGCACAATCTGTTTTTGTAACAAAGTGCTTTGTAATAAATAGCAACATTTGTCACTGTGCTCCTTTTCAGGACCAGTCGAATGTCCCACTTCGCTGAAATACGGGATGTTAGGTTTTGTTAATTTTATTCTGGAGTGGAACTGCATTGAGCAGAGCGTTTCTCAAGCTCAGAACTGGAGCATTCAGCCCACTACATAAGACGTTCACAGGAAGTGTTAAAAGTTTGAACAACGGGTTTGCTATTATTATCACATTAGCTGCAGTCCCACTATCGCTTCTCATCAATTTATCATGTCGCGAGGTCTCGGCGCTTTTAATGTGTCAACCACGAACTACATGCTATTTTCGCTCATCACCTCCGAGGCAATTGTTAATTTGGTGGGAAGATTCTAGCCACACGAAGTCTCATTTCTTGCACTGATGAGCAGGATTGCAACAGGTCACATCCTGACAAGCATGTTTGGTGGGAGTCTCAGCAACTAAAACCATGTCGCAACTGTCACAACTTATACTTTTCGGTCTTGTGCCATGATGCTAGTGATTTCGACACATAATATTTCCACAATTTATGCTACGGGTGTGCCCCAAAAATGTACCCAAATTACATGACAGGGAGCATCTCAGCCATGACACTGTCCGCCGGGTCAGGTCGCCGGCCCTCCCACGCCCCTCATTCAGGTCACGTGCGGTTGCGGTGCGGCTCGTGTCAGAGGTCAAAGGTCAGGGCGACCCCCACCGGACACGATTTGGTAGCCGAGGTCTGTGACGTCAGCCGGGCGTGAAGTTTTCCCTTCACCATAGGCTTCACACACAAACCGGCCGAAGTTCATGCCAGGATAGCCCGGCTTGAAAGTGCAAAAATGATTAAACTTTGCCCTCAATAGATTCATTGCTTCATTTTATAACTAAAAACGTCCGTTATTAGGACTCAATGAAGGTAAAAAGTACTCAAAATCGAAGTTTAAGAAAATGCTGTCCGAGCACAATCTGGTAGCATCACGTGACCTCTTTTAAGCAGAATGTATATAATTCAAGGATGTTATTACACGATTGCTGCCTAAAACATCATAAATAATACGCTTGTAACATTTATTGCTTCTGTTTAAGTCATAACATTGCAAAACGCAAAGTTTATCATGGTAGTCACGTGACCAAAGGTATAGCAGGGGTTGGGACAAGCACTCAAAGCAGGGTTACTTTTACAGGAAAAGTTGAGAGGGGGAATAAAGTTCGGGGCAAAGGCGGATCCAGGGGCATCTGAAAGGGGGGTGGGCGGCAATACCATTAGGTTTTTCGTTAGGATGGAGCCCGCAGAACCTTACCTACCCCCAAATCCTATTCTTTCCTCGGGTTTCAGCCACTTTATTTTGGAAGGTTGCCAAAAAATAATTTTGCTAAAAAATATACGCACCTACCTTGGCTGTAAGGGGCGGGGGAGGTCCCAACTTGACTGCGCCCTTGCAAATGCCAATCAGTAGTATCAACCTATCAGTGGTATCAATAACTAGTAGGTATACCCCGGCCAAACATTAAGTAACGCCTTTCTAAAGAGAGAGGTTAATCCGCGCCCTGATTGGAGGTCATTTTGGCCTCCATGTGGGTTTTCTTGAAAAGCGAAAAACGGCGGCGCGCAGCGCCGCCAAATTTTTAGTACCTTACCGGGCATCAATTTGAAACCTTCGCACAAAATTTCAAGTCTTAGGTCACCTTAGGTCAGGAGTAATTGATGTCAAACTGTTCGAGCAAAAATGAGCAAAAAACATGAAATTCTTAAACGCTCACAAAAGCTACAGTTAACGAGCAATTCCAAAGTTCTTTGTGTGGTCGTGTATGTAGAGAAACGACGGCGCTACAAAACTGCAACCTCTACAACTACAAGGTGGGCAGTGATATCCGAACAAAAACTAATGAAGCACAAAACTTGAATTATTACTATTAGTATTAGTGAGCAGTGAAAGTTCCATTGGGAAAGCCGGCTGTGATGAGGTACTTTTTTTTTGCGCCCTGCTCTGCATGCAAAGCAGATGAACGTGAATGCTGCATAAAGAGAAAAGTCATTTATTACTCAAAGCTTTGATGCCTATGGGACAAAAATAACGTTGTTTTTCCTTCAATGATTCCGGTTTGGAGGATGGTTAAACACGGCCATTGTCATATTGGGACAAAAAATTTAGATGTCTGGCCTTGGCGTCGATGAAAAAGTGAAAATAATCGTGAATAAATGGGTCGTTTCTGAGAAAGAACACAGAATATAAAAGGGGGTCCAAAAGGGGGTCACCTTCTTTTTGCGTCAAAGGAGGGGCCATGGCCCATTGCCCCCCTCCCCCTGTATCCACCCTTGGTTCGGAGAGGTAATCCCGTCCCCCGCCGGTTCCTACGCCGACGCCTGTACCGATATGTCAGTGATTGCGAAAAGACGGAAGAGACAAGACAAGAGACGGTCCCACCGACTATCCGATCGGTATCGGGTCAAATCTGGAGTTCCTGCTGCACTGAACGTAAAATGGTTGGATGGAACCGAAAATTGAAAATTAATAATTATCTTTACGCCAGCAACGTTGATTGATGACGAGAATCTGATTAACGATGACTATAGAATCTGAATAGCGAATTGATTGAAAATGGGCTCCAAAATAAATTTGAAAGGGGGAATTTCCCCCTTCCCTCCCTAGCCGTTCAGACACGATTTGAAAGGGGGAGCGGAATTTTCGAAGGGGGGAAATTCCCCTCTTCCCCCCCTTTAAAAGTAACCCTGACTCAAAGGATTTCAAGTTTTTTAATTAAATTATATAAGTTTCATGATGAAATTGATAGAATGTATTTTTTCCTAATGAAATACAAATTTTCGTATGTAAAATATTTTCCTTATGGGCGAAATTCTCCATATAAGAAATGTCAGTGACGTCACCAGGGCTTTACTTGGGCTTTACTCAAAACATCGGACCTACCTGTTTCTTATAGGTATCTTGGGTCAGGGTATCACGGCTGTCGGGGCTTATGAGCCGGCAGTTCACTCGTCGTCAGGACAGGTAGAGTTGCTAGTCCAGTCCCGATGGTTAGACTGAAACGTTACGCACTATGACATTTGTTTTAGAAACCATGTTTCTGAGATGTTGCAGGGTGCGCTGCTTCAATAAATGTAGGTATCGTATTTATACAGTCAAGGATAAACAAAATGTGCTAATAATATTTAGCTCAGAGGCTTCTGGTTCTCACTTGGTAGGATAAAAAGGACGGTTCCATTTCCTGGTCTTCGTCATGTAAACAAATCCTGATAGCTTACGCTTTTATTTACTAGCGTTACATCCTTTATAGCTGTAAGTGAAAAGCTTCACGGTTCACTGTTGACCCAGTTCCTTTTTTTGCGAACTGACATTAGTTAGGTATTGATTACAGCATTTGATATTATGGACATGAAGTATATATACACTTTACTCTTTTTGACTCTTTTATCAAAAAACGCCCCCACCCCCACCCCCACCCCCTTCCGCCACCGAGACGCCCCCTCCACGGAAGCGTCCTTACCTGAATCAGTCGGATGGCCGGGAGCTATTTTGGGCCCGGCCGCCGCCCGTCTAGGGGAGCACCCCCAGCAGAGGAGCGGAGCGGCGGGCCACGTGCCGTGTGTGGCCAGTCGAGCCGGGGCGAGGCACGTGCCACGTGTAGAGAGACGAGAGCCCGGCATTGACGAGTGACGGAGCTGATTGGAAGTGACGGGTAGTGAAGAGAAATGACAGGAGAGAGGAGAGGAGTGGTGTTTTGACCGCCGGGGGAGAGAGGGTTGAGAGAAGGAGAGCGGAGTTCAGCAAACAGTCAGGTGAGAGGCCACACAGTTCAGAGCTCGTTCAATAGGGGTGTTTTAACCCATTAATGCCGGAATTTTTATTTTTTGATTCTTAAGTTGTCCTTATCAAATGTTAGCCACACGGGTCCCAGTAAGAAAACTGTGCAAGCTTAAAAAAATTGTTCCATCGGTTCTCAAGTTATAAGCATGGGTCATAAATGACCCAACCGGCATTAGTATAGTCACAAACAAGGAGTCATCACGAAAACCAATCTAGCTAGATACCTTATTGTGTATACTGTATAGCGGTCTCAGCCAAACAATATTAAGAGGCACTGCATTGCAATGCTTTGCAACGTCTCATCGGCGAGGCCGTTGGTGCCGCTGGCAGGCCTGTGGTGCCATTGTTAGGCCTCTGGTGCTCCATAGGCTTGACAGGCCTGTGGTTTCCCTGGAAGGACTGTGGTGCCCCTGGGCCCTGACAAGCCTGAGGTGCCCCTGACAGGCTTGTGGAGTCCCTGACAGGCCTGCGGTGCCATTGCTAGGCCTGTGGTGCCCCTGAAAGGCCTGTGGTGCCTCTGGCGTGCCCGTGGTGCCCCTGCTAGGCCGCTGGTGCCCCTGGGTCCTGGCAGGACTGTGGTGCCCTTAATAAGCCTGAAGTGCTCCCGACAGGCCCGTGGAGCCCTTTACAGGCCCAAGGTGCCCGTGCGAGGCTGGTGGTGCCCCTGTGAGGTCGATGGTGCCCCTGGTAGGCCTCTGGTGCCCCTGGCAGGTCTGTGGTGCCCCCTGCCCCCTGGCAGACCTGTGGTGCTCTTGCTAGGCCGATGGTGCTCTTGCAGGCCTGTGGTGCCCCTAACAAGCCTGTGGTACCCCTGACAGGCCCGTGGTGCCCCTCGGCCGGCCGAGTCGCCGGCCCGCCCTGCGTCACGGCCCCGCACGACCGGTCCACTCATGATATCATAACATCGCAACACTAAGCCTGTGGTGCCCCTGTCAGGCCTGTGGTGCCCCTAATAGGTCGGTGGTGCCCCCGGGCCCCAAGGGAGGTCATAAGTGACCCATATGACCCCTCTCCTTTGGATCCGCCACTGTGATCTGATCACAACCCCCAGAAATAAATAATCGTATAATCATCAAATGCTTCCCTTGTAGGTATTCAACATACGAGAAAATTGACAACACTATTGCCGGCTGGGTCATTTATGACCCAATGATATTTATCGAGGAAAAAAACTTATCCGATGGCGACAAGAAGGGCAAAATTATACATCATGCCCTTTTCAGACAAATTTCAATGCCAGGTGGACGATCATTGAACAGATAGTAAAGTGCAAACACCAGTATAACGCCTTATGGGGCGACTAACGGAGCGAGCGAGAGGGTGGGCCTTGCACGTGCGAAATTGCGAGGGGGTACCTCCAACTGACTTGTGCACGGCACCCTACTAACCGGTCTCTAGCGATGTGCCAAATTTGGGCACAATCGGCCCAGCCGTTCTCGAGATCTGGAAGCGGCACCCTGCACGTGCGCACGTGCAAAATGGGTCCCAACTGACTTGTGCACGGCACCCTACTAACCGGTCCCAAACTGTGTACCAAATTTGAGCGCAATCGGTCGAGCCGTTCTCGAGATCTGGAAACGACCCCTGCACGTGCGCACGTGCAGCAGCACCCCAACTCTGGCACATGGATATGCAGTGCCTAGTGGGTGCCTACCTACATGCCAACTTTGAGCGCAATCGGCCAAGTAGTTACCGAGATATTGCAACAATTGCAAAACTGACACCTCTTCGTTTTGCACGTGGCACGTGCATAAGGGGTCACCCACATGCATCGGGAATAGTCCAATACTTGGTAGAAGGAATGAAGCTACCCTACAAAAATTACCGCATGTAAATCGGTCAAGTGGTTGCTGAGATATAAGCCTCGCAAAAGCGTCCGCACGGCCGGCCGGCCGGCCGGCCGGCCGGCCGGCCGGCCGCTCATACTCAGAAATTTCCGTTAATCTAAGGAAAGACTCCGCTCGCTTCGCTCGCTCCGTAATAATATAATATTACTTTTTGGGGCGGCGCGCCATTGCCAGTGACCGGCGACTGTGCAGTCCCGTCGTCTTTGGCTCCAGAAACTTCAGTGGACGAGTTCACACAAGTTTTATGCGGCTCAGACGCTCATCACTGAACCCACAAATCCAACAAAACACACGCACAAGTTCCTCAAAGTGCCACTTGCCTCCATTGAGAAAAAACATTAAGATTTTGCTTTTGGGTCATATATGACCCAAGCGGCATTAATGGGTTAAAGTCGGGCTTAGATCGGGTCAGGGCTGCTTGCAAACTTTAAATGTGAGAAACGACGAGTAATATGTGGCTTGGGGTCGCTGAGACGACAACCCCCAGCATTGCTATGTTTTAATAATTAATTCCGTCGTTTTCCCATGTGCCGTAACCGCTGTTACCGTTCAGCTGCATAGAAACTATATATGACGAAACGCCGGACGTCACGTGGCGGGGTAGACGGCTCGATGACGCCCCGCCGCGCGTCGATGTCCCACTGGGCGATGAAGCCTCGATGACGGATGACTCAGAGCGATGACGAACTGCGCGATCGGTAGCTAGATGCACACTGCACAGTACATACACAGCACACACTCGGAGACATGCAGTGGCACAATCACCAAACTATTGAAGGGCACGGTTAGACTGATAGATCTTCGAGACTTGCCGCGTTGTTCTGTCTCACTCTCGTGGTCATTGAGATGTTTATAGTTTTGAGAGCGGATGACGGTATGTGAGAGCCTAGTGAAGAGGACGCGATGACTCATAACCAAGCAGCATTTGTTTGTTAATAAGCCATTCGAAGTGCTCCTTATATATTGGAATGATGTCACATAAACGGTTCCATTGGCATTTATTGATTTGATACTGTGTTGATCAAATGCATACCTACTTGAAGTACAGGATAGTACCTATCGTAATGGTTGAGAGGAAAATAGAAATAGCTCATTGCCGTAAGTGTACATTTTAATGTACCGAGCATGCAAGTAAGCATGATTGCCTTTTGACGACGAAGGACATATGCGCTACTAAGGAGTGCGTCATTTGGACACATATAGACACAAACGCCTCATATACCAATTTCAGAATAGCCTCATAAACACATTCGCACCGGACATTGGAACTTGGCTTGCACACTGCACAGCATATAATGCAAAACTACCGCCAATGCTTATAAGAACTGCAAACATTGACAAGGAAAAAGCTCTCTTCTGCAGCTTGCAAAATGTATTCTTGCAGGTGCAGTGTGAACAGTGGTGAAGACAGCTGCCAGCTGCGTGACCTTCCTATACAACATCGGCCGTGAGCGCATCTTCTGTGTTTATACCCACGTACGTAAAAAGCAGGTCCGTTGATGACAGTCCTCGGTGTTTGATAGAAAAATACATTTCTAAAAAAATGTGTTTGTATGCGAAAGCAACATCGCTACGCCGCTATGCGGGCTGCACATTTACCCCATGAACATCCGATAGATTGGAACAAAGAACCCCGAGAAATGATGTGGTTTCCTGTGTGCAAGGTCACGTGACCGGAGCTGTACAGCTGGGCTCCAGGGTTCGGCACCATCAGACCAATGTGGTTTCTTTGGTGGTCAGCGGAGAAGGGTCGTAAAAGCGGAGGCAGCGCGCGTCACAGTGACAAATGATTAAATGCCTATATAGCCGTCTACATCGTCCGGAAGTTACCGAACGATAAAACGAAAACGTTTAACAAAAGCACCTATATTGAGACTAAAACGTATACGTGATCATTGGCTATTATCACTGGTTATTATCACTTGGTATATTAACATTTATTTGAATAATTAAGTCCGAGAACATTTTAAAGTGTCTGATCTCTTGCTTTTGCCTCAGTTCATCTAGAAGCCCATCATTATGCTGCAAAAGTTCTCTTGACAAATATCGAAACGCCATTGTGCTGGTCTGCGGCTGGTTATCGACAAAAATAAAAGACTTGATGCCCGGAGACATCGCAATTGCGCGATAAAAATGTCGACGGCCGGATCCATCCACCAAAATAACAACCCGCAGCCAGTTGCCACCGTTTTTCCGTTTTCCACTCCTCAAGCATTACACACCCGATGTTTAGGCTCTACATATATATCATATTACTCCAGCCATCTCTCATAGCGCACCTCCCGTGCCCCGTGACCTCGCCACCATGTGGCGTCTCTCTGACACACCGCGTCACCGGATCACATTCTCACACTTTCTCGTCCTGTTTCCTGGGCAGAAGTGCCGGCGGAGCTCCGTTCGCCGCCGTCATGCTGCCAACCGTCAGCCGGCGGGTGGCAGTTCAGCCGACCCGGGGTCAGCTGAGGTCAGAGGTCAGCAGAGGCGGCGGCTCGAGCTGCTGCTGTCTGTCCTGCTGCGGCTGCTGCCGCTGCTGCGGCTGCTTGAATTTTGGATTCCTGAAGACACAGCTTGGTCTGCTGAAGATAGCTGAAATGGTGAGAGTTCTTGCTGGGCCAGTTCAAAGGCTGGAGCGTGACCTATGTGGGAGCGCGTTTGAACGGATAAGCATCGTGGGAGTGACCCTTAATTCGGTGTTCGTGATAGACGGCTCTGCAATATCAATGCCTGCTGAGTGCTGACGGATATCGTTATTCGTTAGTTCCATCGTGACTGACAATAAGAAGTACACCGGAGCCAGCGTAGACCGAAAACAATATATCGTTCATTAAAAGGTGCAGCTATAAGAAAACGTTTGATAAGACAGAGACCTCCCTTCCTACCAGCCCTCCCAATAAGTTAACCAATGTGTTCTTCGGCAGGCGCTGGGCGGCATCTGCCAGGCTCTGCTGGTCAAGTACGGCCTGGGCTACTCGGCCTCACTCGGCCACGGCTACTCGGCAGTGCTTACCACGTCCAGCGCGTGTCTCTTCACCACCGGGGTCCTCCTGCTCTGCTATTTGGTCTCCAGCACGTCCATCGCACTCGTCAGACAGTCGCTCTTTGTGAGTGCGGCGTGGGAGGGAGGAGTTGTACATTATTATATCGTGACCTGTCGGTTATGAAGTACGCTCGAATGTAATATAGGTAGAAGGGATATACATATATACCCCGACCTTCCGCTTTCTAAGGCTTTCACGGATAAGGTAAAAATAATGACAGCGCATTCCGTAAAAATAGTTTTGTTAACCTCAAGTCACGTCATTAGCTCACTAATTTGGCGCATATAATCTAGACGCACAAACACTTGCATCATATATTCGGGCCTCGGGGTATGTAGTATACGTATACATTTGTAGTATATACTTGTATTTGTAAGCAAGTAACATATGGTACTTACATCTTGTGTTTAAATTTTAGTTTCCTGTCCCCTCTGCCATCCAGCGTTTCTCCTTCCATTTACAGGAGACGCTGTTTAACGGGATCGCCTCTGTGCTGTACGTGGCGGCCTCGGGTCTGCTCTCGTTTACCGTCCAGTCGGTACTGTGGCCCCAGTACGTGGTAACGCCGTACTTCCAGGTGTACCCGGCTCTCACTGCCGCATACGTGAGTAAAACGGGGTACAGACACTGCAGTAGACGTGTTAGTGAATGGGTGCCGTGCTGCTCTGTTCCGAACAGCAATAATATTTTGATCAGCATACTAGGAACTTCTCTGCCGGTGATCGGGTACATTTTTTATGCATGCAAGCATGGAACGTTACTTATGGATAAGTTATGTCTGTCAGTATCAAGCTTCCACTGAAGTTAAAAAGGCGAGAAAAAGTCTCGAATTTTTTGTCGTCTTAGTTTTATTATAGGTCGGGTTATCAGGAACCTTTGACAAGTGGCCTTGAGCGGGAAATCAAATTGCCACTTTGTATGATACCTAAAATACAAAAGATAAGCCGTCACGCCTATCATTCACTTCCTCATTGTAGGAAAAGATAGACATGTTTTATCAACGCCAATATCTATAGACTAGTCCCGATAAGCTGTTTGGCGTGAGACTGCCAATCGTGTTCGGTTTAATTCTCCCGAAGTCCCGACATTATGTGTATGTCACGAGGTTCCAATTAAGCTCGCTCTTACCGGTGGGACCAATGCTAAGACTGTCCGGTTTCCTGTGTTTCAGTGTCTCGGGATAGCCGTGGGCCTTGTTCACGGCTACGACACCTACCTCGCATACCGCTGGTATCGTGGCAGGCAATAGCACCGAGCTGAGGATGTGCTACTTCGCAGCCATGGAAGTGCTACGGTGCTAATTGATATTTGGGTGCTTTTGTGCTCCAGTTTGGAGAAATTGAGTGCTGTGTTGAGAGTGAACCACGGACGGGTTGAGGGTGAACCAACCAAGAAGACGACGGAACGATTCTGTCGATTTGTATCGGGCATATACCGGTGTTTGATGTTTTTAAGGCTTTAAATTGTTTGACAGATGTAACCAATTGGACAGTGGACATGTTCACTGTTCATGGTTTATTTGCGTGATGTTGGCACGGTGTGTGCCCTGTGCCGGCTCGTAGCAGGCTAGCAGCAGCACAAGAGGTGCTATCGAACTTCATTTGAGTATGAGAAATGGATGTGCATGCGCTTGAATGGCAAGTGGCCGAAAACGGTAGCGAGCTGAGTCTCACGATAGATAGAGCGTCCACGAAAACGTCCTCATATAGAAAAGGGGAAATCGAAATGATCATGCTACCGGACCGGGCGGTAGGTTATTATGAGTGATTCCTTGCAGGCATGATATTGAGAAATTCATTTCCTCGTTGTCTCATTTGGGAAAATTATTGTGGATTCCCAAATGTCACACTGCCAGTAATAAACGGTACGATATCTAAGTTGATTTATTTTGATGTACTCGCTCTACCTCGTGAAGTTAAAACTCTAACTGGCAGCACCTTAGAATACGTGACGTCGACAAATATGATGCAGCCGAGACAAACAAGCAATCCATAAGTGTGAGGGCCGGCGGATTTGTAATGGTCTATAACATTTTTAACAGGGATTTTTGAAGGTAAGTTGATTTTTGCTAATGTGTTATGCTTAAAGTAAAGACTGTCCATCATTTGATCAAAGAATTACGCATTTTTCTTCTCGTAAGGTTTGCACAGCTGACAGCTAGTTGGGTATCATCTTCTGGCTTCAGCTTGCTTTACCTTTTTTCCTTAGATTTTCAGCAATTTTCTGTCGATGTACATTTGTACACTTGATCGAATGAATGACATTAGTGTTTGTCTCCTTTTAATTTTACTCTTTTTAATACTTTTGTTCCTTCAAGCCTTTGAAACAAGCATTATATGGTTGCATAGCCGTGTAACACAGAATTTGTTCATTCAGATCAATACAAATAATGATAATGCAACTCCTACTGTTTGCTCCAAGGATTTTTTTCATTTTGGGATATGAGAATAGATAATTTTGCTTTGCAAAAAAATGTCAAATGATTTCACCATTACTGTCATCCTTAGTGTTCATCTTCCTTTAAAAAATGCAAAAATGTTAGAATGATAACACTTCCCCACATTTTTTACAGGAAGCCTGAACAGTGAGCAGTGCCGTGAAGAAAATTGACAGCATGGCTGTAAGTTGCTTATTTTTATGCATGCTGTATTTCTATTCATATTCCTAATTTTAAAGTATTTTCATCAGCTGTAAATCATATTCATATAGACAGGGCTGTTTGGTGTTATTTGACAAACTGGTATGATTTTGCTAACTTCTATTGTCATTTATTTTTATCAGTGCAACTACATGCCTCACTAGCTTCCTATAAAAAGGAATGCAATAAACACCAATGCATGTGTTTTAACATGAAATCTTGTGTCTTTCACAGCCTCAAAAGGGAAAAGTTGGCACCAAGGGCCAGAAGCAAATCATGGAGGAAAATGCCCAAACACTCAACTTCTATAGGATTATGATCCTGGGCTCCAATGGGCTATTCCTCATACTCAATGGGTTCATCTTCTCAGAGTTTGCCACTTTTGAAATAGTAAGTTTGCATGTCATATTTCCTAAATTGAAGCCATGATAGATAATCTGTGAACTCTAAGCATCATGCTCTGATGTCATTAACTAATCTGTAACTTTGAAAATTGAAGTGCAGCTGTTGCTGTGAGCTCCAAGGTCATTGCTCTTAACTACTTGCATCTCATGTGACTCCAATTTTGTCCACCAGGTGGCATTTGTGCTGGTTGCTCTGGTTCACATTGGCTGCTACCAGTTCCTCTCATACATGGCCAAACCCAAGTACACCATGTCAGGCCAGCTAGCTGATGGAGGCCTGGATCTCAACATTGAGTCAGGAGTGGCAGAGTGAGTACTGGGTGGGGTGTGCTTGGTGGTTTTGTCTTGGGGAGGGGAGGGGCTGGGAATATATCCCTGAATAACTTCAGAGCAATGTATTTTAAATCATTCTGTTGCATGGTTTAGTATTTGATTCAATCACACACAGAAAAGGCAAGGTACACCTACCCCCCCCCCCCCTCCTGGTAACTGGGTAACTGGTAACTGGGAGTTATTTGCTGGAGCAGTGGGGATTGCTGAGGGCATATGCCTTAGTGTTAATCAGATGGACGCATCCACATAGGAATTTAACATTTCTTGTGTGTAGACTCCAAACCAGAGGGATGCTGAACCTCCATTTAACTGATAAGACTTTTTCATAGAAATTATAGGGCTTCTTCAATCCATATTGTATTTGTCCTGTCAGACGTCAGTACTTTGCTGTCAAAGCCGCGGTACCTATAATTCCTTTTATATTCATTCTAACAGTGATGCGACCAGAAAGCTGTAATAAATAGTCGCACGGAGAAACTGGCACGTCTGCTTTTGCTGCGTGTATAATCGCAACCAAATGATGATGCAAAGCGTCCAAAAATAACAGATCTATGCTGCCTACATTTAGTATCCCTTTCTCCCTTTTAACGAATTCTACCGAATTAAGCGAAATGGTCTCTTTCCAACTGTTTATAGGTTCATTTTACAATTGATATCTAATGATACAAACAATACATCTTACAAGAGAATTTACGATGTGTCCCACGGCACGCTCGGGCTTTAGTGGCGCCACCAAGTGACGGATCGAATCAATTATGCTTCCGCTTTCGGCCGCTGGTGCCGCCAATTACGTGCCACCAATAAACTCCTTCCATGATTTCGTTGTTTTACTTGGCAGTTAGCACCACACTATCAGTCAATCACACACACCTTATTGTTTATTATCTGCCAGACTTAAACTTGACAAACTGTAGGTCGCTTACACCTCACCCAGAATATATCCCACTGACCTCTCTCTCTCTCTCGCTGCGTTTCAGACACGTGAAGGACCTGATCATAGTCACGTCAGGATGCCAGACTCTAGGGCTGGTGTCACGGTACTTCTGGATCCTGTGGGCGTTCGTAAGTACCTTCTTGACGGACAGTCGGTTGGAATCAGATGCGGTGTATTCCACCTCGATTGTAGTTTCTTTTAGGCGTATCTGGATCAGCTGAGTAAGTCCCAGTATTGATCGTAAGAGCGGACCTTACACCATGCGCTTAATCATACGAACCGATCCTGAATTCGATTCGAGCACATTTAAGTAGTTTGACTTATTTAAGTAAGGCATTGTCGGTTTAGCAGACCGCTTCTCAACATCTGAGGCGCAAATCGAACTTAGCTACGTTTTGCAATGCTTATTCGCTTTTCAAATTATTTCTCTACCACTAAAAATTTAAGCCATTTATATAGACTTTAATAAAAATTTCGTTTCATTTCATTCTCCAAGGTGCCTGTGCGAGCCTTCCAGCTGCTTTGGAAGAACGTGTTGGGTCCGTATTTCTTCGCGCCTGCGCCGGAGGAACCTGAGGTGGATGAGAAAAAGCAGCGAAAAATGGCGAGAAAAATGCGCTACGCAGCGCAATGAAGTGTGCCAAGCTAGGCCAAAATTTGACACTGTTTATTGCTTTGGTGACGGAAATACATGGCAGCAGTGGAAAGCTGGTTCTGGAACATGCGATTAGCGCTGTTGTGGAATTATTGACGATTAATGGAAGCTGCGGGGTGGTCAGTACAAAGCAATGTGCTGTTTGTGATTGTGCATAGCACTATGTTCCGATTCTAGTGTATTTGATTGGACGAAAGTCCACGGATTGGGTTTGGGTTCTCTGCTGATTTATTTATGTGTGCAGGTGACGTAGGCTTCTGGTGTGTATGCTTAGAACTTATGTTTTGTTACGGATATGTAAGGCCCGTCATATTCTCCGATCGCCAAATTCATACTACGATACGGCCGATTGAAAATACGTCCCCTGCTCGCGTTTGGCTTCATATGCATCACTCTTCAAAAGCCATTCGTTTGAAATACAGTACTTCTTACATGAAACTGTCTTGTAGATATATTGAACAGATATGTAGTAAAGAGCCAGTAGCCTACGAATATATTTTGTATCAATTGTTTCTTGAATATATTCGTAGGCTACTGGGCACTGGCTCTTTACTACATGAAACTGTCTCTCCCACCGCTCAGAGCATTGACCCTTCTTCTCGTCTTTGTTTCCGTTTCGGTTCTCCCTTTGAGCCCCGACTCCTTAGTCCGTTCACCTGTCTGTTACGACCGTTGAGTTGACGCCTGGCAGGCTGATAGCCTTCCAGCCCCCATCGTCTAACGCTGGGTCGTCCAGCGGTCCCGGCTGCTGGCGCCCGGCCCGGAACAAAGCGACCCGTAACCGGGACGAGGTTGGAGTTTCGGGGTCACCCCGCAGAGCTGGGCGAGAGCCAAGGCGACCCCGCTGGGATCCTTTGCTGAGTCACGTGACCGGTGAACTTGGGCTACTAAGTGCCAAGAAAAGTAGCCAAGCTGTTTTCACCATTAGAGCGCCCGTTGTTGTTTCTTGCTGCTTCTGCCAAAACTCGCCTCTGGCCCTTTGTTGTTTTTTGTTGAATGGCTTTTGGCATTTTGTTTGATATTTTAATGTATATCAAAATAAAATTCATGTAAATTTACAAACGTCATGTACTTCTCTTTGGTTGGTGCATCACTAATCTCTACTTTGTGCACACTTTGAGACAACACATGCAGACTTGTAAGCGATTCAACTCTGATTGAATCGATTCTCATGAATCGCTTGAAAATGCCGACTCACTGTGATTGAGTCGGTTGAATCACCTCTTGTCACCATATGAATCCTGATTGAATCGGTCACACATGGCAACTGCAAGTGATTGAATCGGCAACTCATCGATTCAAGTTGATTCAATTAACAAAATGATTCAAGCACCATGTGCTGGAAATTGAAGTTATGACCATATTTAGTACTATATTATGTGGAAATATATGTGGCATTTGCATCATAGTCACACACAATGCACTGCAAATTTTTTTAGGTATTTTGTCAGTATTATAAATGCGCATAGCTATCAGTATTGAAAAAAAAAAACATAAAAATTTTGTTTTAAGTTTTTAATCAAACTGTAAACACAAAATTATACATAAATGTCAATGCATGAAGATGAAAAAATGAATGTAAAGTTTCTTTCAAGTGCCCTAAAATCAGTATAGTAATCAAGTTAACAGTAGCAGTAAGCAGGCGCACATTGCTCAACACCTCACGCTCATTATAGAGTTCAGTGCTCAACACACATGTTTTAGATACCATGCTAATCTTTATATTTTCAATACCCTGTTTCATCAGGACATTTGTGAGCAAGCATAGATTTAGTACTTTTCTATGTTTTTTGGTATTTTCCTAGTGTATTTGGTTGATATCTGTTTGGACTTTGGTATCAGTTTCCAAAAATGTCTTAAATTGATATCACATATGTATATATTTTATATAACATCTTGATTGAATCGCGTTGAGTCAAATCATGAGTTGAGTCATTCCCTGAATCACTGATAATGGGATGAGTCGTGATTGAGTTGAATCACAAGGTCCATGAGTCGTGACTGAATCGCTTGGAAAATCAGACTGTTTGATTGAGTTATGATTGAATCGGTCATTTCATCAAGTGAGTCGTGATTGAATTGATTGAATTTTTTTGAATCGTTTACAAGTCTGAACACATGCAATGAAGAGAGAATTTCGATCATGCGTTCTGAGTGCGCTAGCCAGGAACCCGGTTTACATAGGGTTTGTTGCAAGCTTATATCTCCGTCCGTGATGTTGCAAAAGATGCCAATGGTGCTTAACAATTTACAAAATGATCCCATCTAAATATTTGTAGACCACTGCATCGAAATTATCGCCAAATTAACGAGCTAGAGCCTCGTCAAATATGCTATGTAAACCGGGTTAGGGATAGGATCACTCAGTCGTCAGTAGCCAAAGCAATTTGAATGTCCAACCCCTATGTCGGGGGTAGATTCGTGTTTGACGAGAGGGAATTCTGCCCACTCTCTAGGCTACTATGTTATTCGCCAAAGCTACTTGGCGTAATATCTGGCATCATCTGGCATCGGTTTCTTTGTTACCGCTGCGCAGCCGCTGGCTTGTTGCCACGCGAAGTAGTACGGTACTTGGTACGGTAGTCGGTTCTCGGTGTGTTTAGTGGGCGGCGGTTCTGTATTACCGAGTTCGTGAAATATTGAAAAGTAAAGCCGAGAAGCCCCTAGCGCCTGGGGCTTTTGGTGAGAGGCTCTGCTTGACGAAGGTGAGGGTCTGAATATTTGTGTTTTGTTTTTGAAGCTGAAATCAAAATGAAAGTAGAAAATGAGGCAGAAGACAAAGAAGCGTAAATTCAAATAGGCCAACAGTTCAGCATCTTTTTGCCTTGATTTTATGTGTTTCAGGTCTGTCGATGTGTTGCATTCATATATAAATCCGTGCATAGTTTCTTCTGTTCTTCCAAGCTCATTGGTACTTGAAAGTTGAAAGTTGAATGCTATCTATTATTGAGTTGAGACATTTATCCCATTTTCAAATAGGCTGGTACTTGTTTAACCATAATGGATTATATGTTATGTAGTTGCGTTTTTGTGATGGTGATTTGATAGCCCTTATTCTTTCAGGTGGAGCCTGCAATGGGTTACAACTACATTGCGGCAGAAATTGAACTTAGTTACACAGCGAGCAGTGTAAGACTAAGAAACATGAACATTGTCAGTGTCTTAAATTTCCCAATTGCAAAAGCATCTTTGCAAATCCCTGCAAGATTTTTCTAAGAGGTGTAATTTATTGCTGAAATATTGTGATTTGTGCTGTGAATCTGTGTGCTTAAAAGTGAACCAAAGATGAAGCTGCTTGAGAACAGCAGTTTTGAGGCCATCACGTCTGGGCTGCAGTTGTTGACTGGCAGTAGCCGCATTTTTGGCAGGTACGTCCCAGGTCTGCAGGCTCTTGCACGGCACTAATCTCTTCTTTGGCTGTACAAATGTGTTGATTATTTACCTAGTGTTTGTTCATCAAGATGTAGGGCTTACAGGGAGTCATTTGATTGTACCTATGCATGCACAGGAGTCATTTGAGTGTATGCATGCCAGAGTCTTCCTAAGCATAATTGGCCTAATGTCATTTGTGAGACAATGGATGGAAGTCCTCATGGTCTGACTTTGTGAATAACATTTGCATGTTTTGTTCCTCAGAGTGGAGAGCTACAGCTGCAAGATGGTGGGCCCAGAGAAGTCCCTGTACAAGAAGCTGAACTTTGAGCATGGCCACAACCCCAGTGACCTGCAGGCTCTCTCCCCTCCAGAGAACAAGTTTGGAGTGTCCCCCAGCAACGTGTCATACAGGTGAGCTCAATTGGACACCCTAAAACTCAAATATCATCAAGTATGATGAAAGACTACAGGTTTTATAAGATAAGTTCTAATTGGCTTGATTTCAGCTGATGTGTGCATCTAGCATATAATTATACTCTCTAGCAAGCATACTCACTAGTCACTGGTACAGTGTTTGCATAATCTGCCTGTCCTGTCTCTTGCTCTCATCCTATTCACTTACCATCCCTCTTCTCTGACACTTTTTCCTCTACTGACTCTCATTCTGTCCCTCATCCTTTCTTCCACCAGTCACCACCCACCTTTTCCACCATCCCCATCCCCCTCTCACTCTCCGTCCCCTCTCTGACGCAGCTTCCCCCTCCCGTCCGCGGCGCGCCGCAGTCGCAGCCTCTCCGGAGACGAGGAGGGCGGCGGCTCGCTCTGTGACGTCATCAGTCGGAAGGCGCTCTTCCACCTGATCTCGACGCTGAACGCGTCGTTCCCCGACTACGACTTCTCCAGCGCTAAGGCGGAGGAGTTCAGCAGGGAGCCATCTCTGGCGGTAAGGGAACCAGGCTGCGAGAAGGGTTTTTTAAGTTGTTGGTGGCTTACGATGGTGCTATGTGCTTTTTGATAGTTTTGTTTGTTTGGCTTGTGGATAAGGTAGTTGATAAGTTCTGGGGACTGAATAAGTAAAGCTAGTGTTCTTTGAACAGTAACTATCTGTTTCAGCTGACGTCACGCTCGTTGAGATGACATCGCTAAGCCGTTGCACTTTGCCTGTGATTCTTTGCATTGTCATCATGACTTAGGCTGCTATTCTAGTCTTGTCATGTTAATCAGTGCTGTCCGTTCACGATCCTCTTGTCATCTGTGAATGTTGTGGGTGTATCCGGGAGTTAAGTAGATTCGACTGTAGTTCCATAACTGACTCCACTGGTACGCCACACATGCATTTACCTTATATTCTGCCGTAATGGGTCATGACCTCGTGACCTGTCCTGTTTGATCACAGATGCTGACCCTCGTGACCCGAATCTCGTGACCTGACCTTTGTGACCTCATCAGGTCGTGGTAGCCAACATCGACACCTACCTGAGCGCGGCGGCCGGCGAACAGTACAACGTGCTCAGGAACACGCTCTGGCGTACCATTGAGGACGAGATCACGCCCAAAGGTAGGTCGGCGATGTCTTCCCAGAAGGAAGTAGGTACGCGAAGGAATCACAGACGGGGTAAGGATATTTCACAGGGTTGCCGGAGGTCTCGACTGGTTTGGATATGAATATTACATGCCATCCGGTACTGTAGGCAGCCTGTGGGATGACATTGAGCAATGGCGGAGATGAGCATTGCACAGTTACTCAGCTCATGCTCATATTTTGCAATCGAGTTCCATTTTCCACATCATAGCCCTCTGTCACAGTTGAATTATGTTGCGCTGCTGTGTGTCTGCCTGTAATAACCTCTCGATGACGCGTTCTCCCCGCAGAGTGCGATATCTACCGGTACAATCCAGACCTGCAGAGCGACCCTTTCGGCGAGGACGGCTGTCTCTGGTCCTTCAACTACTTCTTCTACAACAAGAAGATGAAGCGCATCGTTTTCTTCACCTGCAGAGCCATCAGGTCAGTCCATTGTCTCTGAGGGTGAGGCTGTCCTTAGTTCGTCCATTGGTCCTGAGAGCGTTGGTTATAACTGCGGCATTCGCTTTCGATAGGCATGAATGCGCTGATCCGTGTTGGTTTGAGTGAATTGCTTTTGGGTAGTCCAGACCATTATGTTAGACACCCTGCTACCTTTCCGAATCCCCTGCTGAACAAATAACCACTGCTGAAGCTTGCGGACAGGCTTGCTATTTTGATTACACTATTGCGGAATCTGACAGCTTTGACAAGTTAAGAAGCCCTTGAGCAACCCTGCTGCCTGGCAGCTACATTACACTATAGGACGTTCTCTCGACGTACCGCGGCGCCTGCCCGGCCGGCCGCGGCGAAAGTGTTCCGACACGACCCAAAGCCGTAGTCGCGGGTCGTCCTCCGCGCGCGGCTCAAAGCCCGAGTCGCTGCGGAGCGGCGTCCTCCGTCACCTGGGCTATATTCGGGTGGACGGCGGATCCTGCCAGCGGGCTGCATGCACCGGGAAGTCGCCGGCCTTCACTGAGAGTGGGGCCCGGTCAGGGTTGGTGCGGCTCGGTGGGCTGGCACAGCTCTCTGCTGATGCGTATATGGATGGGATGAAGGGTGACGCAGTTTGGATACACGTTTGGTGGGGAATGTTTTTAGTTGTGGAACTTTTTAGGTTGGCTGGTATGGGTTCAGGGCCCCGGTTGGTTATCTATAATTTTGACGTTTGTGAGCCTGTGAGTCGTCCTCTTTGGAAGGGATAAAAGTTAATGTGGCGAAAGCTGACTGGTTTGTTTCTTCCTTTGGTGGTCTTATCTCTTTCCTCATCATAGGTTTACAGTACGGAAAATTCGATATTTTAGTTCAGACATATTTGTTATCAGCCGATATGCCAACGTCATGCAAAGTTGTTTGTTTGGGTTAGCCTTCCTCGAAGCAGCCCCGCCATTTGCACACCACCGGGACCATCGCCCGACCATTCGCGTTTATTCGTCCCGTTTTCCTGCGCGAGTTCAGTGACACTGCCACTCCAGATCGTGTGACCGCTAGTAATGTCATTAGCGGTGTTTTGAAGCGGCGTCACGCGCCCAAACAGGACACGGGGTCACGTTTTCCGTCTCGCTGGCACTCGCCCGCTGGTAAACAGTGGTGTCGCCGGCCGGCCGGCCGGGACCGGTTCGGCCGCTGGTCACTGGCTCAGGGCTGCCGGCGGTACCGGCCAAAAACATGGCCCACCGGTCACGTGACTAAACAGAACAAAGGCCGGCGGCGGTCACGTGGAAGGGTAGAAAACGAACGAAGATATAAAGGCAAATGCATGTGACTTGGCACAAGTGTGGGCGTTGGCACAGGTGGACAGAGCTCACAAACGGTAAAAAGTGTGAAGAAAACACACTTGTGAAACTGGGGTCGGCACTGGGCATATGAATTATGAAGACTCATAAATTAGGTACTAGCGGGCGCGGCCTTCGTATTGTCAAGTGGTGCGCCTGTCCTGAAGGACTGGCGGGCGCCGTGAGGTATTTCTTATTCCTTTGGCCCCCGGTCCTGACCTTGTCCTTGGGTGGAGGTCGGTGCTCCGCCAGTCCTTCGCCGATATGTGGCTTCTAATCATGGAGTGGCTACCCGACAAAAAAAAGTGTTTGTGTGTACAATGATATGCATAAATTTCTGACATCGTTCGGTAGTACTCATGGGCAATGTTTATATTCAGAATGCGAACTTATAATTATTAATAAAAATATGGGTGACATACTTCAATCCATATGCATTATTTATCGATATCTTCGCCGCCAATCGATGGCAGTCTCACAGCTGCTCGCACCGTTACCCAAACCGTCACCATTCAGCTCCGGCCAGCCGCCATTGTGCCGCTCCCCACCACCAGCCTGTCGGTGGACGACGGCCTTTGTCTGTGGCTCGCCGTCTGTGTGGCGTGTCGTTCGCTGTGTGTGGCGTCCCTTCCTCCGTCCCTTCCGTTGCGGCCGGTGCGTCAGCGGTCCTATCGGGGGTTGACACAGCGACGGTCAATAGAACAGTGTGAAACTGAGTCATAAGGATATGGGTGTGGCTGCGAGTCTTGCTGAGTCGGGGGCGGTTGGTTCTGGGTTGAAGGGGAAGAAATAAGAAGGGTGTTGTGGCTAGGGGAAATTATGCTGCTCCTTAGCATGTCAGATATTGAAAGGAATGTTGAACGAAAGGGTTTTGAATTTTGATGGTTGAAAATTACGATGGAACGCTGTCCTTGTGCGCCATGTCAGCAGGAAAGTCTGCAATGATGGCAGTAAGTGGGCCAGACGGGGAGGCACATCGCGCCTCACTCACTGTCTGTAGATATTACTTTTCTCCGAAACCGGCTGCACTCTGCACCAGTGGGCCTGTCTGCCCAGTGGTGCAGAGTGCAGTGATGTCATCACAGCGCTGCGGGCACCTCAGGCAGCCGTGGGCGGTGTGATGGACCGACCAGTCCTGCCGACACGGTCCGACCCTCCCTCCAGGCTCTGTAGGGTACTGGCGCTCTGCAGGACCTGCGGAGTGGGCTCTCAGATAACGGGGGCGTTGGCCACGTCGTAAAAGCCCACGGCCGGGTGGTGCTGGGCTGGTCCGCAATGCAATTGCTCCACAAAGCGACGGTCGCAGGAGTGGAGCGTTGTTGTAGCTATATTGAATCACATTTCAAAGTAAATGGAATTATTCGCACTCGAAATTCTTAGCTTTACTATTGTTATTTTTGGCAATGCACATTGAAAGGCGATGCTCATTTTCCAGCGGATCTGACATTCCTCTTCAAACTATGTCAAGCAATGCCACTCATAAACTCCTGTTCGAGTTGTTTTCACACGATCTCACTCCGAACTACTGGCTGCCGCCCATACCCGCCGTGTCATTCGCTGCATTTGTCGCGGTCCGCCGCCGGTGCACCGCTGAGGCAGTGCAGCGGACCCTGGCCGAGACGGCTGTGGTGCGAGTGATGACGTCACAACTATCGTACCACCCCCCACGGTGGGGAGGGGAGAGGAGGTGGGCGGCGGCTGCTGTAGACCCTACTGCGCCGCACGAAGCCCGCCCCCGGGTCTCCGCCGCTGCTGTTGCTACTGCGGTAGTGCAGAAGACAGACGGGCGACGCAGTGCTAGTCGGAGCTGGGCAATACTGTAGGATGCGGGGATCGCGGATGCGGAGCGAGGGAAAATGTGAACAAAATGACGGCAAGATTCACATTTTTCGTTTTTGTTTTAATTTTATCAGTCACCTTTTTCTGAGAACGAACTTCGTAGTAAATTTCTTTTCTGTACAAGAAGTCGGAAGATTTGCCACTTTGCCTATGTCATCTCGCTGCTGATATAAGTGGAAGAGCAGCACCCGGTCTGTTAGCCGGTTTGTTGTGACAGCTCTGGGCCGGCTGTATTTTGCTGTCTCCCTGCCCTCCCCGGCCTTCTCCCGTCGCCAGCTGGCAGCCTGACCCGGTCTGTAGGCCGACCGGCCTGTCAGGCGACTGTTTTATACCACCGGTCTCCTGTCACGACCGGCTCTAGGTCGCCCGCCCCGCCCCACCCGATTCCCCTGCCCCCTACGTGTTACGGCGGCTGGGCTCAATGTTTTGAGTTCGTGCCTGTTCAGTTATGTTGACCATGAGGTCTCGAAACAGTCCGATTGTAGCCTGCCGAGTCGGAAGCCTATCGAGCCCCGACAGCGCCTGTGATCTAAGGTTGGGTGCCGACTGGCATATGGGCCAACAGCTGGGGTACGGGGTACGAGAAATACCGACTGGGTCCGACCCGCCCCGGTCCGACACTGACCTTTTATGGTGATGTTTGTCAGAGGGCCCTCTGTCTGACCCTCTCCCTCCCTCCCTCTTTCCCTCCTCCCTCCTTCCCCGGCGCTCCATTGTCTCTGAGGAATGCTGGGATCGGTAGGCTCTGAAGTCGCCTGTGCTAGTATTGGTTCGATTAAAGGTAGTGTGCCTCCTTCGAATGATTTCCCATTTTATTTTTCCTAGGATAAGAAGCTTCTGTTTTTACCTAATATCGCAAAAAAATCAAAAATGGGCCTAACATAGTGCTTTTTTCGCCTAAAAGTTTATCGGTTTTTCGATATGTATAACAACTGTAGTGGGCTGACCTGCAAACAGGCGTCGGCAACAATCACGAATGCGGCGCACATGTGACAATAACCAAAGGTCATTATAGAGTTACGACGTACGGGAATGAGTTATCAGCTGTCTAATCGTAGACAACACAATGTCGAATTTAAACTGTAGGTAAGCCTGTATTGGTATTGTTTCTTTAATTTGGCTGTCAAACATTAATTTATGGTTTGAAATATTATTTTATGTAAAATAATTGATAAGAAACAGCCGTCTCTAAAGCTATGACACCATCTCACCACATGAAAGTGGCAGAAATGACAATGATCAGCTGACGCATTTTTCTTGACCGAAGTCAGAGCGCGCGGCCCGACGCACCACCACCGCACCACAAAGTATGAGCAGAAGCCGCGCCCAAAGCCAGGGCCCCGGTAACGTTCAGTTCAGTTCAGTTCAGTGTATTGGAACATTCCAAACAATTGGGTATTACTGTTCCACGTCAAGTACATGAAGCATATAAAACCACAACCATACACATCGAAAACCAAACACTAAAAAACGCAGAAAGATGGTGTTTAAAACAGATATAAAACATATATAAAACAGTGAACCACGCTACATTATATCGATGTGCTGTTCGACATTCAGCGCTGCCGTAAAAGCTCTAATTGTGGCCGCCTCCCGGACAGGCGGTGGTAGTGAGTTCCACGCTGAGGCTGCACGGCGAGAGAAACTATGCCGCGATGCACTCAAATTACATCTGCACAGGTGCAGGTCACCCCTGTCGGTGGCACGCGTGCATCTCGCCGATACGCTCTCCCGTCGGGTGAACATTTCCCGGATCGCAATCGGTGAGTCATCATACGACAGCGCGCTAAACACTTTGACAAGGTCACGACGCTTAACCAGAGTCTCGATCTTTGACCACTTTAGCTGCTGAAGAGCCGGTGTAATATGCTGATGTTTTTTGAGTCCAATGACGAGTCTCGCTGCAAAATTGATAACTTTTTGAATTCTGTGCAGCTGACCTTTGGCAGCCGCACCCCACACTGTCAAACAGTAAATGATGTGAGGGAAGACATAAGCCTCGATCAAGATTTTGATGGCATCACTGGAGAAGTAGTGACGAAACTTGCAAAGCGTTACTAGGAAACGGTTACACTTCTGTGCAACCGCTGTCACATGTGCAGCCCAATTTAGCCTGGCGTCAATAATAACGCCCAGGACTTTGATCTTTTCCGACGGCCGTACTACTGAGTCACCTATCTGAAAGTAAAAATTTGCTGACTTGGTTAAATTTTGTTTCGTCCCGACCAGCATGAAGTCAGTCTTTCCTTCGTTCATTTTTAAAGAATTGGCACTAAACCAGGCTTTTAGCTCTTCTAGGGTGGCTTCAAGTCTGCTTTTCATTGCATCGAAGCCAGACTCGTCAGGAAGTGTACAGTCGAGGTGCATTGTGTCGTCAGCGTAAGTGATCAGGCTGCCGTGAGACAAGTAGCAGGGTAAGTCGCCGGTGAACAATATAAACAGAACAGGTCCGATAATTGATCCCTGAGGCACACCGCAGGACACCGGCAAACAGCTCCGCCCTCCCCGAACAATCTGTTCTCTGCCGGTCAGGTAACTGCTGAACCAATCGATGTCTAAAATGCCGTACCACGACAGTTTTGCAAGTAAGACACCATGGTCGACGCTATCGAACGCCTTCGATAAGTCGACCGTCGTCAACGACGATACGAGTCCTCTGTCGGTGTTGTTCACCAGGCGCTCAACAGCAGCGAGCACGGCGTCCTCGGTTGAGTGACGCACCCTATATGCATACTGAGATGGGCTAAACAGACGAGCAGAGCTGAGATAACTAGTCAGTTGGCGGCACACTACTTTTTCCAGAATTTTTGATAAGACGCTTAAAAGTGAGATGGGACGATTGTTCGATGGGACCGAGACATCGCCAGATTTTGGTATCGGCACGACACACGCTGTTTTCCACGCGTCAGGAAACACTTTGGTAGTCAGTGACAGATTGATAAGGCGAAGCAAGTGCGGCCCGACTACCGGAAAACTTTGACGGACCGCCGCCAGAGGAATCTCATCGATTCCCACCGCTCGCGACGCACTCATCATCCCGACACACCGAGACAGTTCCGGTAGAGTTACAGGTGTTAGTTGGAAGCCTGCTGAGCATACTGTCGGCGGTCTGAGGTCATGTCGGCCCGCGCTAACCGCCTCTTGCAGGTCGGCAGCAATACGGGTTCCGACATCCGCGAAATACCGGTTCAATTCGTCCGCCCTCTCTTCAGGGCCACTGCGACCCGGCCCCGGCGCCATGTTCCCCTGCCCGGGGGATGTCATAGAGAATTTTTTAAAGGTCGACCAGAAAGCCACGCGGTCACCCGATGTTAGCCCCCCACACAAAAAATGGCGCCTAGCTGCGATAAGTCGACTCTTCACTCTATTTCGCAGATTTACAAAGTCATTTTTCGCGTCCGTGGTACGCAACGACAGCCACATGTCACGAGCACTATCCCGCTCCTCCATCAGCTCGCGAAGCTCCGGATCCTCCAGCCAGGGACAGCTCGGCCGCGAGACACGCACACGTCTCGGTGGGCAGTGGCGATTCAACACGTCATTCCACACGATCATGAACTGCGTAACACACGAATTTACATCAGTAGCGCCATCTACATGGGACCAATCTGCAAGCAAGAAATCTAGACACACAGCATTCCAATCGACCTTGCGCCAATTGCGATAGATACGCCATTGTGCCGGTGTTTTCATGCGAGGGAGGTGGACGACAGTCACAATTGGTTGATGATCACTAATGGAATCGGGCAAAATAGACGTCACTGGCGCCGGATCCTTGAAGTTGGTGATAATGTGGTCCAGTGCAGACGGAGACGGGTCCAGGTGGGTGGGGCCGTCAATGAGTTGTGTCAAGTTGAGCTCACTTAAGAGATCTAGGTAGCGGCGGGTAGTTGCCGCAGTAGCATCGAGTACGTTGAAGTTGAGGTCGCCCAGGGCAAACAGAGGTCTGCCAGCAGCGGTAGCCTTGCGGAGCTGATTCTCGAGGTGTTCCAAACTGACCGTCACAGCACTGTTTGGCGGGCGGTATATCACGCCCACTGTGGCTGGTACACCGCCGGGCCAGGTCACCATGGCCCACAGAGACTCGAGAGGACCGCTCGCCGGCATCGACAGGATCTTCGCCGCTATCCCCTTTCGATGGATGATAGCGACGCCGCCACCACGCCGCAGCGCTCGGTCCCGTGAGGTCGCCACCACGCCGCAACGTGAGGTAGCCGAGTCGGGGCAGCGTGCGCTGACCCAAGCCGGGGCCGCGGCTTTGGGCGCGGTTTACCGCATCCCCGCGGGCAGCCCCGGGCTATCACATGACACCGGGAGGACGCGAGGCCCCGGCTTGGGTCAGCGCACGCTGCCCCGACTCGGCTACCTCACGTTACCGGGGCCCTGGCTTTGGGCGCGGTCTACCGCACCACCTAATAGGCGTGTTCGAAACCGCAGGAGATGATGATGAACGGGTTTATCGAAACTTGATTGGATGAGCCTATCGGTAATAGCGATTTCAGTGTGTGCATTTATTGTTCATAGTGGTGTGAAATGTGGTTGGGGTACGACCGACAACCCGTCGGGGCGAATTTCGCACTGGGGTACTTACTCAAAATTTGAAGAATTTAAGACGTTTCCATGAGCTTTGAAGGTATGGATGAGTTCTAAAAATCCGGTTCTCCTTATCTTGGCCATTAACTCCATACGGTCCAGGAAAGCTGGCACACTACCTTTAAGCCCAGCCCGTACTGCTTTGCTCAGCAGATAAAGATCATTATCTCCTCGATGAAAATTATAGATTGATCGATTGGTTGATGTGATTGCAAACATTGCTGTTGTCAACTTGTTTAACCAGTAAAGAAATCAGTGAAAAATAGTAAAATGCTGTGAACCTGTCCGACTGGTTGATGGCATCTCTGACCTTGAAAACGACAATCGTGTTTGTGCGCAGATTCTGCACTTCCCCGAAAAATCCCTGCTCCCGATAAAAAAGAAAGTACCTCCAGAACATTCTTGCACTCGATGGCTGTTTCCTTTGATAGCAAACACCGTCTGTGCCGTCACGTGCGGTCGGCGGTGACTTCACGTGTCCGGTTCACCCGGCGGTGGGGTCGACCTCTCCGCCCTATCACACCACATCCTCGTGTTTCGAGACGTCAGTGCAGCTCGCCTGGATAGACCTCCGCTATCGCTATCTGTTGCCATGAGCGCTTGTAGTTGCTAGAAGTGGCCTAGTCATGTGAGGTCGGTTGACCATCCTGAAGGGCATTGATGCCAGTGATACTGGCAGTGACACTAAGGATATCAATATTTGCAATCATTGCCAGTATCCTTGGAGTGTAATGGAGGTAAAATGTATGCTTCGCTATTGCATTTCTATGCAGCTAGTATTCCTTCACAGTCTGCCTCTTGTCACCTTTCCTTGCCTATCGTTTACTATCGTTCTTGTGTTTCTAAACACCAAACAGCATCATTCCCCTCACTCACGCCCTATTAGTCTCAGCCTTACAGTTCCTCACGACTTTTTACTACATCGCTTGTATTGTAAATGTATGCTTCGCTATTGCATTTCTATGCAGCTAGTATTCCTTCACAGTCTTCCTCTTGTCACCTTTCCTTGCCTATCGTTTACTATCGTTCTTGTGTTTCTAAACACCAAACAGCATCATTCCCCTCACTCACGCCCTATTAGTCTCAGCCTTACAGTTCCTCACGACTTTTTACTACATTGCTTGTAGCCGTAGCCTCGTAGCTCGGCGTATCACCTCTCTCTTCCAAGCTCTGTCTTACCCCCACCACCCTCTGTTACAGTGTCAACTACAACATGCTACGCCTGGACTCGGGCTCCGGCCAGGAGTTTAGCATGGAACTGGACGAAGACTACATGCTGGGCTTGGAGGAGGAAGTTGACATGTAGGAGGCTGGCTTCAGGTGGAGGGGAGGATACTCTCGGGCTGGCGACCGACGTGGAGGAGAGGAGTGGAGGGAGTTCGGAGGGAAGGAGGAGGAGTCGCACTGCAGAGGGAGGAGCAGTAACGAATGAGGAAGAGAAGAGGACGAACAGTGGTGGTACAAAAGAGACTATTGAGATGCGCCTGCGCAGATGTCAAGAATGTGACGATAAAGAGAGCAGGACTTTGGTGGCGCCAAGCGGTGGTACACAGGACTGAACCGAGCGATAGATGGAGCTCGTGTGTCACAAAGGGAGTGGACTGTGCCTCCAACTGAACGGTGCGGTCCCCGGCAACATGGCGTCATTACCCCGCCCTGTGTGTCCTCTGACTGCGCTGGCTGCCGCGAGCGGTGCTTTTGTCGATGGTGATGGCACTCTGTGCAGAACTTTGAGTCGGTCAGCAGACGCTGTGTGCTGTGGTGGTTTAACGGAACGGCCAACAGAGGGCGCCTGAACTGACAGTGCGCGAGGGGTGTTGTGAATCGCACCCTCATGTGACTTGCTGAGTCGGAGTGATGTAGCCGAGTGGTCCTCATGTGGTAGGTGCTGCCTCCCCACCGATATCGGTCACTTTGGAAGCGGGAGTGATGAGATGAGCGACTGTGTCGTCTCTCTTGGGGACAAGGTTTGCAGCAAAGCCTCGAAGGGCGTCGTTCGCCAACCTGACCTGACCTGACCTCTCTGGTGTCGGGCGGTTCGTTCGGTCCGGCTGGCCGCCCCCGCCCCCGCCCTCCGAGGTATTGGTTGTTCGGTGGAGCCCGCCGGTAGAGAGCGGTCCTGGCGGGGGTGGGGGTGGTCTGCCGGACCGGCCGACCCGCCCGGGTCAGTCAGAGGTCAGAGGTCACCCCAGAGGTCAGCTGCCTTGTGCCGTTTGTGGTCGGCGAGCAGCCGAGCCTGGATTGAGCTGATGGGTGGTGCTACCCTACTCGTGTGTTTAGCACTGTACCGTTCAACTAGCTCGTCTGTACCCTGGAGGATATGTGTACCACAGCGTCCCCTGGCGACACTGGCGACTGTTCGTACCTCACACACATCCAGTGCTGACCCGCTCCTCCCGAACCTGCCGCCCCTCAGGACGACAGGAGAGCCTCCGCTCCCCTCCCAGCCCGGCTGGCTCGTCCCCAGCCGTAGACCGTGTCGTCCCCAGCCACCGGAGCCAGCGCCGCGGTGTGACCTTGACCGTGCATGGCGCGGCGCCAGCGCGCGCTGACGCCGTTGGCGCGCCGCGGCGGACTTTGGCGCCAGATGCAGAGACTATCTTTTGTCCGAGTGTGACCTGATATGATTGACAGAAAGATGCACAGAGATATAACACGTTAGAGTAGTATCGAATATTCCAGAAAGTGCAAAAATGTACAAGAAATTCGGTGACGGCTAGAGCGTTGAGCGCAGATTAGACGTATGTGTGCTTTTATTTTTAAGTCAGCTGATGCTGTTTTAAACCGGGCTGAACGCTGTGTAACCCGAATGTTTGTCTATCGGTCAGTTGGGTGTACAAAGTTCGGCGCGCCCTAGGTTCAGCCTGATGCGAATGGCGTACCTATAGTGATTGTTTTGTTGCGTGCTAATTTAGATCTCTATTAAGTGTGATAGGATCTGTTCGTAGCGTTCTAGTTTGCATCGTTATCGCCTCCATTATCTCGCCTTCCCGTTCTTCCCATCCTCATAGCGTGTCTGTTCACATGCCGCCGTTCATACCCGCTTTGTGTCTCGGTAACGTATGCTAGTCTCGCTGCTGTAGTGTGAATGAGAGAGTTTATCGCTTCTTCGTCGCGCCGCTGCCCGCCGCCGGTCGGCCTGCACTGCGAGCGGGTCGCTCGTATGTGTCCTGTTGACCGGGCCGTCTCTATAGAGTTGCACAGAGTTGCGTTTTAGACGGTTGAGTCGTCTGTGGCCCAGAGAATCCATTTGTCATTGGCGGGATCCCGGCGCCTCCCTGGATGGGCTTAGGCAAGTGAGGGTTCCTGCTCCCCGGGGGTCAAGATTGCGCCTTTTATCGCTCTAATATACATGTCACCGTATAACTGGGTTTGGTGTGGCGTATGTGTGATTTCATGGAGTGCAAATATCGAGGTTGCAAATTCAGGGATGCGGTGCCGTGGAAATTTCAGACGGCTCCGGCTCCGGAGAAAAATCGGCTCCGGCTCCGGGTGAAATGCCATGGCGGCTCCGGCTCCGGCTCCGAGTAAAATGGTCCGGCTCCGGCGGCTCCGGCTCCGGCTCCAATACTCAGTACATCCCCTATGCAATTAAATACGGGTGGAAAAAAAAGACGATGGGATTGGTGCACGTTGCTTCTGTATTTGCATAACAAGGCTATTTTCATATTTTGAATACCGCATGTTTTACTGCCTTGAACTGTCAAACCGAACTACTCGGGTCAATAATTGTTTCCTCTTCAAAAAATGAGTCTGAGTCGCCCCCTTTTTTACGGCTCCGGCTCCGGGCTATATTGTTTCACGGCTCCGGCTCCGGGCAAAATATGCCGGCTCCGGCTCCGGCTCCGCACCCCTGGCTGGGCAATGCTTGTGGAATAGAGGATTGGTATGGCTCGACAGTCAGCACCTGGGCACCTCCCCGCGAGCAGCCAGCGCCACCTCGCTGTGGCTGAGCGCCATCTACGGGGTAGTTGGAACGCTAGAACTGGGATGGTGGCTTGTGAGGACAAGGCCCTCTAGTGGGTTCACATTTGCCGTTCTGTGTCGCTCCCTTCCTCCGGATCGCGCCGCCTATCATGCTTATTGGTACCATTATGCCCCATGTCCCCTGTTCCATCCCCAGAAACTATCTCCGGTCTCCCACTCCCCTGATTCCATTGTGAAATGGTCAAATGTGACGGTGATTTCTCGTACACAATTTACCAGACATTCTGAACTCTAGCCATGCAGAATTGCAGAAGCAATGGCATATATCTGAAATTGGCGACAGGTTTTCGGATCCTGGCTGTGCTGCCTTTCTAGTTATACTTACGATTGTACGCTGGCCGACCAATTCAAACGTCTGTCACCTCGGCAGTCGGCACTCCAGTTAGTCTCCAAATCAATTTGCCTGTCTTCGGATTCCAGCAATTAATTAGCATAGTTTGAGCTGATATCGCTAACGAACTGTCCAATCACACCTCTCATCAAAGCTGACTCGTCACTTTCCACATAAATCGCTGCCAAGTTTTCTCAGGACATCTGCTCCCATCCGATCATCAAGCCATAAAAACATCTCAGACGACTGTCGCCTTCAGAAGCGCTGGTTCGGATGAGTCTTTCGCTGCTGTCTTCTTGAAGTTGCCTGCGAATTAGTCATGGAGACACGGCTGTTGAGAACGACTGCAAAGTTTTGTCGTAAATCTGCACCTGCTAGATGCCATTTGGAGGCAGAGCTGATGAATCACTGTGTCGTATTTTCGTCGGAGCGGGAGAGATTCCCATTTGGTCGAATCTGGGCGCTGCTAATGGGCGACTGTTTTGAAGTGATTTGATTTGTGTGGAGGCGCTAGCAATGGGAAGTTATCAACACGAACATTGCAAACGTGTTAAGCAAAATGGAAAGTCTGCAATGAATTGCGATGAGCATATTGTATGCATTATTTGAGGTTTGCAGTGTTCGTGTCATTTCATTGAGCGGCATTCTGGTGCATTAATTAAGCAATCGATCGCATTGAATGAACCACAATGCAATGCAACATTCTAAACATAGCGCAAGGGCAAGTTATGTAACTGAACGTCTGATCTATAACGGCGACCATTACGCTCCGTGAATTGTGACCGGACAGTCTATTCATGTCCCACCTCTGATGACGATTCGTTTGCGTGTATTTCCCTGTTTTATTTTTGGTGGTGTCTGTTCATCGAGCTGGAGATTCGTGCGCTACACACAAGAACGTCTCGATACAAATTTACAAAAACTCAACACGGAAATGTAACTATACACTGACTGGGCTCAGAATGACTGAGCTGCGCCGCCCCGAAGCCGCGGTGGCGTCACTCCCTGGATACAGTGATGACGTCACTATTAGGTGTCGTGATGACTTCACTGCCGAGTGGGCTACACCGGAGAACTCTGAGACACAAGCCATCGGTGACCTGACGGAAGGTTCAGCTGCGGACAGGCATCCTTAGTGAAAGCACTTGTTCAAGTGAATAGTGCTCTCGCTTAGAAAAATAGTCTGCTCTGCATTTGACACACCGTCACTCAGGTCACCCATGGTTTGTTTCAGGGTTCGGATTCGATGAGCTCAAGCCTTGCTGTTCGGGGCATACCGGCAGTTTCGTCCGCACTCTATCCCAAAGTTCCTCACACTCTAACCCGGGTGTGGCGCTTCCCCGGCTCCCGATGACAGCGTGCAATCTCAGATGGCGGTGCTCCCTTCTCTCCCCGCGGTGCTTCTCTTCTCTACCCAGCACTCAGCGCTCGCGCGACGGCCTACAGTACACCAAAACGCCGTAAATGGATCGAAAAGTCGTCTCCCTCCCCCGTATACAACTTGTGAAAGTCGAGAGTGTGCTTCTCGTATTGTCGGCCGCGGGGATATGACTAGGCTGATATGACAGTTATTGGTGCTTTCCACCGCTCGGGACAGCTTCCTACAAGCATGGGACGAGCCGGCGCACACCGTTGCTTTTTTTTCTGAAAATTTAGCTTCGGCCGCCGAGAGGTGTCTATATCACACACGTTGTCATGACTACCGACCGATAGCTCCACTGCGGATTCCGCTCACGGCGCCGAGTTTAGTTCGGCGAGCCGGCAGGGCGAGGGTCGATCACTATTAAAGCCATCTTCTACCTAAGTTATGTGCTCTGGCGCGGCGGCGCAGGATGAGACACAGTCCTAGCCAGCAGGCACAGGGGCACGCACACGCGCAGATACGCACAAACGCACACACGCAACAAGCTAGGAACGCACTCGACACGCTCCGAACACGCACACACACGCATAAACAGACGTCGCCCGCACCGCACTGCACACAGCGCACAAAGCAGCGGCCCGCGCGGTCGCGATAGCTCCTGCATCTACACAGTTTTGTCCGGTTGTGCGATGCGGCGGGCTTCTCATACTGACACACACGTCTCACAGTGTGCAAGACACGCAGTATGTGCACGCGCTCGCACGGTCACGTTCACCGAAACTGTGGCGTCTCTCGGTGGCGGCGGCTGACGCCCACTTGGCTCACTCGCAGCGAGTTAGTGAGTGGAGTTTTGGAGTTAGTGACTACACTGATGCGGGCTCTCCGCTGTCCAGAGGGTGACGGATGTGACACAGGTAAATGCAGTTAGTCACACCGCTCACACTGAAGTGCACGGACGCGCTGGGTCGCGATTCCGCTCTCGATACTCGAGCGGGCCGCGGTCTGCCCTCGAGCACACGCGACTCGCAGTTACACCGGGAGCGATCGTCGTCTGGAGCCTCGAGTCGGGTTGGAGTCGGGTCGGGATCTGTGCAGGTTCCATGGACTCCAACTCTTCCGAAGACTCCAACGACTCCATGACTCGCGGTTCACGCGCCGAGTGAGCAGCTGTCGGCGAGCGCTCGTCGCCTCCTGAAGCAGCTCCGGTCGCGTTCGAGCGGCCGCTTCAGTCACTTGCTCACCGACGTTTGCCACCGTACGGAGACGTTAACCGCCGATCGGTTGAACCCGGCGCGGTACATCTCCGCTAAGACGGCCAAGAAGCGAGCCTTGTTGGCGTCGAGCCGCTCAGATGACCAAGAAGCGAGCCCAGCCGGCTAGCCGGTCGGCCGCCGCCACCGCTGCCGCAACCGCTGACTCCTGGGCAGGTCGGCTGGGGTCAGCCGACCTCGCCCCCCTGCGGCGGCGCCACCCCTCACACGAACCACTCATCCTTCTGGCCGGCGGGGTCGCTGAAACGCAGCCAAATGTCACCGGTCACGACCTTGGCCTGCACGGGGGGATGCGAGTGGAGAGGTCGCAATCCTTGTGGCCAAAAGGTCACAGAGTCTTGCTTCTACTACAGATTGAAGGGGTAGGAATAAGGGTCAAAGACCACCACACCACAATTCAGTAGAGAAAGGTCAGGAGCAAGCCTTTGTAGGTCACCAAGGTCATCCAGTCACACAGAAGTTAAAAGGTTCATAGTAAAAGCTACTGGAAACAAATTACTGTTGAAAATGACGGTTGCTCTATGTGCTCCTGCGTAACCTACAGCAAACGAGCACTCAGAGCAGGAAGCTTCGTGGGTCAAAAGTCGCCAAAAGGCGTCAAAATTCGAAGTGTGTTATATGTTTGTCAAAGCTGGTGGACCATTCATCAGGTTGAGGCGTGTTCATTTTGACAACGTCTGTCATACCATGTCATATATCCTACATGGTAGCACCTGAATCCTGAATCAACACCCATTTCTGTCATTAAAGGGACCCTCCCACCTTCAAAAAAGTTAATGAATTGGCATGAAAGTGATGTCGCTCGGTTCAGAAAGAGCAAAAACGAATATCTACCAAATTTCATCGAAAAATATTCACCAGTTTTCAAGATATTAGACTTTTACTTTTGTTTACTTTTTGGGATCTCCGCTGTTCCTAGCGACTTTATTTGAAAGTGCGGCATTTGTTGCGCGCAAAGCAGCGTATACCACCGCGTGCTACAAAACGTTTTAGTCAAACATTTAACGGACGTTCGAAAGCCTGATGACGTCATCAGATACCCGTAATGGTTAAGAGATAGGGACCACGCTGGTCCCACCCTGCAAGTAAAGGGAAGAAATTTCTTGAACACCATAAAGCTGCGGGGGTTGCGACCAGGATAAATGGTGGTTTCTGAGCCTGGCCGCAAACTTGGCTATCTCAACTCAAAACTAATGTTAAGGTGGGAGAGTCCCTTTAACGCTCCTGTCGACTCGAATGACCTCGCCGCTCCCAACCTTGGAATGACGCGGCATAGGGTTACAAGGGAGCGGAAGGAGTAAATCAGGGAGAGCGCCGGCGGATTTCGGCTGAAATGGGCCGCTCAGAGTTTAGCAGTTAGGTGCAATATATGGGAGTGGTAGCCTCACTGCTAGTCTGAGGTAACACAGCGCAGACCAGTCATTAGCACGTCATCGCTATGAAATGCATAAAGAGTTGGCGAAATTTCATATTTGGTTTGTTATATTGAAAATGAGGGACGGTTAATTAAGGATAATTTTGATATCTAATTATTTTGAACAAAGCGTTCAACTCGCGGGCCAAGTTTGTTTCATCAGCGGAACGGAACAAAGCGGGTCAAGATTCTCATTTCACACAGGGAAGAACAATTCCTTCAATTTCGTCTGTGGTGACGCTAGCACATTAGCAAAAATTGCAGAATGTTGAGGATACATTTAACGTTCTTCAGTTTCGTTACGTTAGTTTACATGTATTATCACTGAGATTCGATATCACGGCCACAGTCGTGTCCTTGACATCATCACCGATGACCTTGACCTGCGGCGAGGTCACTCTGCGCTCACCCACCTGTCTGACCCCGGCGTTTTGACCTTGACGGTGAGCAGTGCGCGCTGAGAGGGAACCCCGTCCATACCGCAGGGTGGAGCCAGTTTTCCGAAAACGGCTGCTTCTCGGTGCCTGCCCGAGTGCCGTTCGAGCCCGAGTAGTTCACGGAAGCCACTGTGAACAGCAAGAAAGAACACGGTTTGAGTTCCGGTACAACAGATTAATCCACAATCTGTGCTCGCTGAAGTGTTGCAAAACAATAATAATGGCGTTGCATGTGCGTATCTCGAGGATACAGGAAGTTAATCGGACTTCTTTTGCTAATCCTCACTAAGCTGGTGGCTCTAACTAACATCTCGGAGATTTCCGGGATTACGGTACACTCCACGCAGCCATTATAACCTCGTCGTCGCGGGTACTTCAGTATAATCCGTCCTTAAATCGACTGTTTCCGGACCTTCAAACCAGGCGGTGACGCTCAGAGTCGTCTGGTGTGCGCGAAGTCAGAGATTGTTGAGCCGTGGTTGTGATTGTGACAGCCAGAGTGAGCCATCAGTGGCAGGTAGAGTGACCCCTGGGCCCTGACCCATTCGAGACAGCTGGACTGAGCTATGAGTGACAACCTGAATGAGCCATCAGTTGGAGCTCAAACTGAGCCGTCCCCGGAGATGAGCCGAGAAAATCTGGCTAATCCGACCGTCTTTGAAACGAGTCGAGTCTGCTGCTGACGAGCCGGCGCTTTTCGAAGTGAGGGACATTGTAACGCAGCGGCGATTCAGTATGTGATCCAGCTTTGTCTCAATCGCTCTGCCGCCGTTAGACAACCTTGTCTCAGTTGTGACTCAGTCGTGGGTCAGTCGTGACTAAGCTGTGACTCAGCTGTAACCTGGCGACCTGTAAACCAGCTGTGAAATGTGAAAACAAATAAAGAGCTCGGAAAACTGCGAAGACTTTGCATCTATCCACAGCTGACCCAGCAAATGGATATGGATATGTTGGTGACTCGAGCGATTCTCCGACCGAGGTCATAGCATAGCTCGGACCTCCGTCCTTAGGTGAGTTATGTCTTATCGGTGACGATAACTCCGACGGAAATGACGGCGAGATGGAAGCATTGGCGACCGGATAGTAAGTCCTTCGTCCGCTTTGCATCCGATGTCGAGAAGTGCGTTCTTCCAGTACCCGTCATCTTGTCCCATTGATTTGCGCGAGTGCCGGCGACATTTCTGTGCTCTGAAGTATTGTCGAGGCCGCCAGCAGAAGATGGGGTCGTTGGCCAGAGAGGCGAGGGGGCTGGTGAGGTAGAGGAAGACGGAGAGAGGTGCAGGGGTGAAGGAGGAAGCTGGTGTAAAGATGAAGGATGGGAATAAAATGAGGTTATGATGATGCAATGCAACCACCAGTATGTGCTTTTGTGGCCAGATTCGACCATTATCACGGTGCGGAGCTATTTAAAGAAGTTTATTAACGAGCAATCTGCAATTATATCCAATTGAAAATATAGGACAAATAGTTTCTGGTAGTTTTCTGGCAGGTCATGTCCTAGCAATTCATATACATATATTGTGATCATACGTTGTCTCCAAAATATATAAATGAATATGTGCTGGTGGTTCGGTTGCCGGTTTACGAGTGCAATCTGCAGCGGCCCGGTGAGGCGCGGCCCTTGCAGCCACCTCGGAAGCCTCGCGGTGCAGTGGCGGCGCTGCAGCAGCCAGGCGCGGCGGGGAGCATGAATAAATCGCCAGCCGGGGACCGGGATGGCGTCAGAGACCGGAGACAGTGGTCAGCAGGGTCAGACAGTCTACTCCGCACTCCGCAGGCTACACTACTCCGCACCCGACGGCGGTGAGGGGCGACCATAGTGACCATAGCTCAAGGGCTGTAGAGTGTAGAGTCCTTCCTACAGAACGGCGTCTCGAATGCGAGTAAATGCATGAAGTTTCTCTGCTCCTCTACAAAGGGGATACACCGTTGGACAAGACCAATCGTTTTGCAGAGTGGCATGGAACAAAAGCTCGTGTCTGGTGGTGTTCAGTCTCATCTGACTTGTAATGCTGGTGTCTGCGGTCGGGCCGGTATTCCTGCGTCCCCCGCTGCGCCGCCGGTAGTGGCAGCAGCGATGACGATTGTGACGGTGACGGCAGCGTTGACGCCGAGTGTCGGATCGGCCCGGCTCGGCCCGGTGGCCCGTTTGGGGGTGCCTCTCACCCTCGACAGCCGCCGGGAAGTATCGATCCCACACCGTACCCAGCCGCGGCACAGCGTACCGGCCGGCGCCGCGATGGCGTCCTTTGTGGAATGCCGTCGGCACCCCGGCACTGTTCACGGGCACTGTCGTGTCAGCATGTGCCCGTGAACTGTCCCGGCTCAGAGGTGGGAGAGCCCAGGGTTTGTGCAAGGATGAGGCATGTTGCTTTTGTTTTTGTTTGGTTTCGATTGGGTGCGCTGGTGTGTACTATGAAATGCAATCTGCTGATTCATTCTCTTGACCATTGCTTGGGTACATGATGTATGAGCTGAAAACTTCTAGCGAATAGGTCGACGACATGGCACCGTTCCAGCTGGAATTGAAAAAGTTGGAGTCCCACTTCAATAGATTCGCAACTGCATGAATGCATGTAATTTACTACTTAGGTACTGCATGTACGGATTAATAAATGGAGCAAGGCATCCGCTATGCTGAGTGCAGTTCTTTATCGTTTGCTTTGAATAAGACTTTTACAGCAGTAAAATCATAAAATGGATGCTATTACGACAATGAAATGACAAATGCCAACCGATAAGCAACCTAATTTCTTTCGTCCGCGTTGAGGGAATTCCCTTCACCAAGAGATGTGCTTCTGAGTTGCTGATGAGAAACATGATGCATATGAACGCTTTGAGATTACGCGATTGATTGCCAGTTTTGGAAAAGAACTACATCGTTCAGAAATATTGCATTTAGGCTGGACCATGGATGATGCAACTTCGTCAGTTCTGGTATGTCAAGCACTCTGCTGCATTTAGGGTAGGTCGGCCGTTGGAATTCGCTTTCTTTTGCGTATACCTTTGGACCGTTCGCCTAAAAATGGTACTGATAATTATAATAAAATAAAGCCGGGGAACTGAAGCTTTTTTGTAGAGGATAGTTGAGGTTTTACAGTAGGTTGAGGCTAGTACATTCATTCAACAAGGGAAGCTTATTTTCCTTTTAATGCACGGGGTTTTCATAAATTTGTGGATGCTACAATTACTTAGCCATGCCGAGGTCTGTGGTTTAGGACAAACGTTCACAATTTTGCATGACGTAGATGTTCATTTTGTTCCGAGAGATTAAAACTTGAACGAAGTTACCGGTCATAGGGAACTGGCATACCCAGATACCCTGGGCAGGGTATTTTCATTAAAAACTCTCACCGCAAGTAAACTTTCTCGCCTCAAGAAAATCTCCCAGCTTGCAGAATGCTCCTGAACTTCCTATTGATTGCGTTTGCCGGCTTTGCACACTTTGCAACTCGAGAGTTCACGTGGAAGACTTCATAGCGAAGCGCAGTAGAAATGTACGCTATTTCGCCTCCCTCCCCCTCCAGCCTTCCCCGCCCCTTCCCCCAGACACTTACTCTGGTAGGTGTTGTTGACTGTTCCGTTGTTTGGATGACGTTGGCGCCGGCGGCGGCGGCGGCACAGGCAGACGATGACGCTGATGACGACGATTATGATGACGCCCGCGACGCCGGCGGCCGCGCCCAGGAACATGGTCTGATCCAGACCAAACATGGTCCCCAGGCCGGCGTCTGGCGAAAGAAGTCACGCAAAAGTCAACTAAGGGTGTATTGTACATTTACAGTGGTGCGTACCGACCGTGGTAGAGACGATCGCACTCAGTTAATGAACGTTTGCATTGAACTAAGCACGGTAAAACATGTTTTTGTTGTTGTTTGTCTGTTGTCGATCCAATATTCCCTGCCTAGATCCACTTACAATTGCACACACTACAGCGTCAAAGTTAGCGGACTGCACAATTTGCATCTTCATCGGACACCATTCACCAGTCACAACAAAAAATAGAAGTCACAATCCCGAGCTGGGGCAAGTTGACAGCTGCGTCTGTCGCGGGCTATATTGATGTCTAGACGTACGGGTGGTCAATGCCTTTGAATGGTTGTCATGACAAGAAATGTCTGAGAAAACATAAAAAATTGCATTAGATTTACGGAGCCTGCTGCGTTGGCATTGAAGATGCTGCCTGTAAGTTATCGATGATAGGAATAAGCCATCAAAAAAGAACCTAGATACTATTCCTTCATTTATTTCTTATCGCTAGCACACAGACGAGCATTTCTTACGAAATGGTCATTCAGACTTAATTCGATTCGATATCGCTGGGCGCTAACATTTAACTGAACTCCTTTGAGTAATGATGATTCTGTTTTGTAAAAGCATTCGACTCTTCAAAGTCAAAGTCAAAGTCAAAGTCATTTATTAGAATTCTTCCACGGGGTGGGTATTAAGAATCCGGTCAGGAATGTGACATGGTGACATAGGAGCTAAGTGAGACCCAATTAAAAATATATGATGCTGATACAATGGCAAAAGCTACGTTAAAACACATCGACGATTACATTAAAACACTCGCGAACGCATCATCCGCATGTAAGAAGTTGACATCAGCAGGTTGACATTCTAAAATCAGGTGCCTATGGCGGTGCCCTTCGCATTCCACGATGCTGCCGCTCTATATGCAAACTCCCGCTGAGTTCTTGCGAGCCGCCACTTCGGGAGCTGCAACTTCCCGGCTGCTACCGCGCGAGTGTCACGTGACGACACTTCGGCCCGGCGGGTGAACATGGCCGACATCGCTGGGGGACATTGGTCATTATACAGGGCTCTCTGGACGTGAACATGATCATGGCGGCGCAGCATCACATCCACCCTCTCCCAACTAAGCGACTCCAACGCCGGCGATATATGCTCGGACCGTCGTGTCCCGGTCACAAGTCTGGCGGCGAAGTTCATCGTCTTTTGGACGCGCTGCATTTGACACTTGGCGGCTCCTCCCCAGACGGACAGGCAATACTGAATGTGTGGGAACACGTGGGCTTGGACTAAGAGTTTAAGGACGTCAGGTGTGAGGTGGTGCCGGATTTTGTGGAGGGATGCGAGGATGGAGTTGCAGCGACGCACAACCATGGTTATGTGGGGATCCCACGTCAGGTGTCGGTCGAGCAGCACACCCAAAATTTTGACGGTCTGACTTGGCCGAATGTCGTTGTGACTCTTTCGGTCACCATAGAGCGCCTTGCCTCCTACAGTGCTGTAGCTAGGTCGCTTGCTACACGCTAGTCCGAACGTCTCTTCCCCCTGGACAGCGCTCGGCGTCCCTGCCCCGGTCGAGCCCAGGTGAGCCGGCCGCCGGCACTGACTCAAAGCTGCCGCGGCTCGGCGGCTGGCGCAGCTCGCCGATTTACGAGCTAGCCGTGCAGCCCGGCCGGCGAGTGTGCACCGAGCTGCCGCAGCTCAGCCCGAGAACGGCCGGCGGCTTTTGGAGAGCTGCAGCCCGCAGGTGACCGTCCCTGGTGGCTGAGATCCCAGGTACTGGTCAACGCAACACGGACGTCGACAATTGGCAAAGCTGGCTGCTTTGTCGTTAGCGTGTGCAGGTACTGGTCAACGCAACACGGACGTTGGCGATTGTCAAACATTGTTGTATTACTTGCTGCTGTTTTCCAGTGATAAATTGTGAAGCGTTAAATCGTAGTTCTTTGTGTAACTTGTTGAATATCTATACCTACTATAATCAAGCTTTAATATGATTATGTTCATTCGGTTGTCGGCTTTATCATAAACACCAAATTGCAGCGAGCAGAAAGTCTCTGATCGAACCAGCGTTCCGTTCCGCAACGCTTCCGTGTCATGCGGAACAGTCTACGTTCCAGGCATTACGGCTCGGTCCGCAGTGAATGGGCGATTTGGACACAGCGTGGCCGCGGTCAATTCCGATCTTTGTTATGTGGCGGAGACTTGTTTGTTGGGTTTTGTAGGCGCGTCGGCAGGGAGATCATTATGCATGTGTGGTAGCTAGTGATTCTGACTGGTCGACTGCACTGACAGCCGTTCTTCTAATAGCCGCAAACTGGCTTTGTGTTGAGTCTTTAGAGTGAGAATGACAAACCTGTGAGAATTGTTGTGAGAATGTGAGAATGAGTGAGAATGTTGTTTATTTTCATGACGATGCAGTGTAAATGTGTATATCCCAAACTGTGCATAAACTATGATCTTCATTGCTAAAACCGGGAAACAACAGGAGAGTCACCCACTTGACCTTGCTCGTACCGCATACGCCTTTTGTGTCCGGCTAGCCCGTTATTCTTGGCCGTCTTGGAGTGAGGCCTCTGAAGTAGCATTAATTAGCCTATCAAGCCATTCGGTGACTCAGATGTCATCAGATGCCCGGGCAGTGCAGTCTGCCGGCCGGGATATATGCCCCGACCGGTAATTACTCGAGTCAAGGCCGCCTAATTTTAGCCCTGGGAAGACCTAGGAAGGTCCGTATAGCTCTAAATTTGCTAGTGGTGGATGGGAAGTAAATGAATTGACGTTCATTGAATGGAAAACATGAGTCATGACAATACATGCTCTTATTTAACATGCATGTGAAGAATGGCTGTAAAATGTCCATTCAAATGGACCGGTTTTTCGACGACGTAATAAAGCATGACTGTAAAAAGGTAACATCCATCGTAAGCACCTACTTTAATCAGCGGCCAAATAAATAATGATACACGCAACGGATGAGGCAACAAGCCATTCAGCCGAGCAGGGCCAGTTAAAGGCCTTCAAACGCTCTCTGACGGGACTATATATTACACAGAGCCGTAACTGGTGACCTTTACCGTTCGTTACCCGCGGCCGTGGCGCTCATAAAATCAGCACACCGGAAACGGCAGCAAACACTTTGGTCGGGTTATCTGAGCGGCACTCTGTGGCTGATAAATGCAGTACATGTGCCACAAATCTAATGCGTAGGTATTATACTTGTGGCAGGTATTTAATAGTTATTAGATTTGTAGGTATTATTCATCTAAATATTATGCGATAAAAGGTCTGTCACACGGAATTTAGAAGTGCAGCTTGCATGGCGTTTATTGCAGTTTTTTGCAAGCATGACAAATGAAAGGATCAGTGTTTATCTACATATGTGTTTATCTACATACGTTTATCTACGTATCTACATACATACTAGGTACATACATACAGTTTTATACTGTGATATTGACATATTTTACGATCGGATGCACCTTCTATGGCATTAACTTAACAAAAATGATAATTTTAAAAGCGATCGACTCCGCCTCTCGCTCCATTTCATCCGCGTTCCCCAACGCACCCTTCCGTGCTCTGTCCATACAAACTTTCTGAGTCAATTCAGTAGCAGTTCGATCCTCGGCAAAAGAACGGATCTCACAGGCCTCGGCTTTGTGCGTGAAATTCCCAGCCCTGCGATTTGAAGGGAGATGAATAAGGAGACCGTCTTCGTGATGTGATATTCGTAAATAGATAGGTTTAGGTAGATAACGATATCATATTTTGATGTGCATGGGTGATGCAACTCGTGGCGTACTCATTGTATCCAAAGTTACCGAAGAGAGTGTACAATTCACGAGGTCTTTTTTGTTACGTTGTGATTAAATTAACTGAGCGTTGAAGTGGTATCGCGGCCTCTTCCGAGCGCCATGACTGTCACCCCTCACCACAGCCTATTTTCCTCCTACAGAAGTATCTACTACGTACTTTTTTTGCAACATGAGAACATGAGCTTACATAACGTTGTCCTCGGTATTCATGCCGCGGGCAATTATCCTTGTTGTATCCTTGTAAGCACAGCGTTTTTCACTAACCACATGACACGCCTCTACAATCCCTCACTGAGTGGGTATCCACAGGTCCATCGGTGGCCCGCCGAGCCGTCCGACCCCCCGCTGCGTCCCCGTTCAGTTACTGGCCGCGTTCAGAGCCGACGTTCGATTCCCCGGTGCCACTCAAACCGGCCAAGCGAGTTTGAGAGCCGCACTTGATCGGGGTCTGGTCGGCGGTCGGCACGCATCGATTAGGGCTGTTTGCTGGGGTTACGCGGCCACCGGCGGTCGGCGGCGGCCAACGCCTTCCCGGCACGGAGCGGGCGCGATCGAAAACTGTTCGCCCCACCCTGCCCTCGCCCTCGCCCTCGCCCCTGCTCCTCCGCCATCGTCATCGCCGCCAACGCCGCCCCCGTCCGCCCTCAGTCCTCAGCGCCCCCATTCGTGCCACCCGCCGTTCCAAACCCCGCCCGACTTCCGCCCTAACCCCTGCATCATTACCGTCGCTCCATCGCCACCCACGGGCTTCCACAGACCACAATGGTGGCCCACCCACGCTGTCTCGACGCCCCATAGACTGCACTACCTTGTTACCGGTTTAACCGCTTCAGCAGTGGCTTATGCTCCTCCCCACTCACCCCCTGAGCTGCCTACGCACTGGCACCTCGCCTTTGTACTTCCTGTATGCACACGTGAAATGTGGCTCCTGTGGACCGTAGGGCCTCATGTCCGCCCAACCCCGCTGCGATTCTGCGCCGCCCCCGCTCCGCCCGAATCCGGCCCGTAGCGAAGCGTGCGGCGGCAATGCACGGAATGTCCAATGTTGCGGGGTGGAATTACGGCCATCATTTGGCTGTAATACAGGGGAAGCCCACAGGTCGTGGGTGTAATGGCTGCCGTATCAGTCAGGTGACAATGACAGTGTTGAATGTCGATACTTAAGTTGATGTTGATGTTGAATGTTAACAGTTTGTAAGAGAGAAAGTAGCCGATAAATAAACATTGTAGTGCAAGGTGATGACAAGCTTTCGATTGCAATCAAGTTCATGATACCTATTTACCAGATTGGCTTGATTAAAAATGCATACATATTATTACCTGTGTTCTGACAAAGCTTTGCTGAGAAGCGAACGACTGGCGGACGCATTGCGCTTTGCGCGGCAGTATGTCTGGTTTGAGGTTCACAGCACATAAGAAACGGTCCGTGGCACTGCCCCGTGTCCTGTCGTCGACTCACACACGGGTGGCGACAGCGAACAGATTGGACCTGTCGCCAGAGTTCGATTGATTGTGGTCACAGGCGTCAGCCGACCGGCGCTACTGACCGCAACGGCGACACACGGACGTTCAATATTTCAGCGGAGCGCGCCCGAGGCTCGTTACCTGTTAGTGCACAACGTGTGCCAATGGTGATCACTCACCAATGGTGATCCGTTAGGCGGCACGGCCGGACATCGATAGCAGCGCCTCTATCGGTCACTAGGGAAAGCTGGCCTGTAGGCGACGAAATACCGGCTGAGTTGTCACACGTTGAATAGGTTTATAGACATCCGTCTTGTGAAAAAGTTGAACTTTTGTTATCACTAACTATTTCTACAGGCAATTTTAGAAGTGTCTTCACATAGATTATAAAACCGTTTAGATTATTGTATTCACTTCAAGCCTTCCCTATTGTTCTTGATGATGCGGGAACTATTTTATTTCTAATTAGTGTTTCTAGCTTAGTAAAAGAACATATTGTGCAAACGATGAAAAAAGCATAAATGGAAGATTTTAAATGCAATTTTCTCTAACAATTAATGGTAAATTCTCTACATATCAAGGAAAGGGTGCATGCTAACTGATAATTTAAAGTTCTTGGGGCAAGTTACTTTCTTCTTTTCTTACGTCTCCCCAATGGCCGCGAATACACCTGTGATAACGCCTATGGCATAGTACAGTGCACTGGTGGTGTGTGCACTATGCGGTAGCCAATCTATAGAGCTCCAGCTGTAACCACGGGCGATTGGAGAGCAAAGCTGAGTGCGGCCTCAGGTGTTCCTCCTCAATTGGTGGCCGATCGGGTCTAAGAGGCCCCCAGGGGATGGCGGTAGTACGCGTTGAGAAGATATCGTGGCAAGTTGAGATCGGTGCGCCAACTCGGACCGTTTAATGTGTCGCAGAAGTTAGTGACAGCCGCGGCAGTATCATGACAGCAAATCTTTGACAGGCCCCGGCGTACAGGCACTGAGAGCATGGGCGCTTGAAGAAATGTGCTGTCCGACATCTATTTTAAGAAGGCTTTTGCTGATAAAAGTCTTACTTTTAAAAGTCTTCATTTTATGCGAAGGTCTATGGATCAAAACTCTTTCGAGTTGCGTTCGTTTATCTTCCTCATATGGTAAAAGTGTTATGTTAAAAAAAAACTTACTTAGAGGACTGAAGTGAAGAAAGGGGGACGTCGATAAGGCAAATGTCATCGACATGAAGAGGTCGTGACAAACCCATGATTCACTGAGGAATCGTTATCAACGCATGGCTCATCAGGAGCCTGTACCCCATTCAAAACTCATGACTCACCGAGAAGCCGTATCTGACTCTACAGCTCACGGGACTCATTTTTAGACTCACTACTCACCGACACAGCCGGCGATGACCGACTCGTCGCCTCCGTGCAGACAGTGGACCACCCCGTCACACAGCAGGTCACTGGAGATACAGTGGTCGTCGCACAGAAACTGGTCGCACGCTGCCGGTAAGGGAGTGACGTCAGAGAGGGTACAGCGGGGAGGGAGAGAGAGAGAGAGAGAGAGAGAGAGAGAGAGAGAGAGAGAGAGAGAGAGAGAGGGGGGGGACGGACGGACGGAGGGTGAGAGAGGAGGAAGAAGCGATTATGATTTCAGAACGGAAACGACACAGTCGGTGGAACGGACGAGAGCAACGTTTAAAGTTAGATCAGAAACAGACCCGGAAGAATGAGACAGAAGTAACGTATAAGGTAGCACAGCTCGGCAGCAAGAGCCGGACGGTAAGCGTGTTACCTTAAACACTCTCACCCGCCCAGCCGAGTGTCTGAATCCGCGCCGAATCGCTCCATTCAAATGGTATTCTGGCCATCCGCGGGTGCTGAAGTGGGCGATTTATAACCGCTTATCTGACGGTGCTGACACGTCATTTACGCGCGCTTAGCATTGGCCGTGCCCGAAATGTCGCGGCGGCCATCTTTTAGCCGAGTGGACGGCTCGCCGGCTGAGGTGGGGGCTCAGATAGTGTTCTGGCTCTGCCGGGTCTCTGCTGAACCGGGCCAGGATATGAGGCGGCAGTCCATCCTGGCTCAGCCCGCGGGGAGACCTACTTCCGGGACGGCTGGACAGCGGTAGATAAGCCCGGCCACGTGGGGAGGACGGCTGCTTGAGATGTGTTTATATAGAGCGCTATGAAAGGCTCCTTGAAATGCATAAAAACGGCGTTTCCATTATAATATCTACGCAGGTAGGGGTAGAGGTGCGGCATGAGTGCACAATCCTGTATTTTTTGTGCACAAAACTATGAGGTTCACGAACCACGATCCATAAACACCACATGCTGTTTGAACAACTTGCAGCACAATCGATGCCGGTTTTGAGGATACAGCACAGTCCCTTTTACTTCCTGTGCCTCTTCAAGCAATTTAAACACGTTTCGACGAGATAAAAGAGTTCCTGCAGCAGGATTCGATCCGCAGCCTGCACGCTGCCATACTAACCGACCATATCCTTTGTGACGTGTTTGAACGCCGTGATGACCATTCGGAACCCATTTTTGCTGGTGCCCCAGGCGTCCGTTTTGTACTCGAGCGTCAGATGGTTACTCCGAGTGTACAGCGTGCCCACAGACTCCTTCGTGTTTCGACACGACAGGTCCGCCTGCGAAAGGGGAAATCGTGGCAGTTACATGCACGACTTCCAGCTCCATTTACTCAACTGATGCATGAGAAAGTCTGTTTCTGTTACAGGAGAAGAAAAAAAAGCTTAAAAAGGAAATAAGCACCAAAAATCTTGCTTTCCAACGTTTATGTATCTTCAAAAGCTGTTTCAGTTTTTCACCGTTTTCCTCTTTCTTTTTATTGAATTATATGTATAAACCGTTCTGAACACTGGTCTCCTGAGACCGCCTTGATCTAAAATCCCATTAAGTCTGGCTAATCAACAGGGTCCGGTCTCATTTACACACTGCTCATTTCTGCGTCCGTGTGTGAAACTGCCATAATTACTGTACTCCCGTATTTAACATCTTCATGATTAGACTGGAGTAGAACGACGACGCATACAACATGGACGATGAATCCTAAACGTAAGAAGTGTGGAACCAATTATTCTAGACAGGAGACGGTAAGGTGAAGACGGTGATCTCGTTTGGCACTTGGTTACCACAGAGTCACGGACTTTTAACAACTATAGTTGGCCTAACAATGCCATCGCCTATTCCATACCTGTCACGGTTAGGAAGACACAGTTCGTCAGTTGACAGACCTACCTTATACTTTCCATCGATGGCGTGCGCTCCGTCGTGGATGTAGAGGTGGTCGTTACAGTCCAACTGCAGGTAGTCGAACCGCACCATAAACCTCTGTAGAACCGTCTCAGTCTGCAGGGGAGGAGGAGACAAATGTGACGCACACGCGGCGATAGTGGCGCAGCTGGTTCACCGCAGCTGCGCGCCGGTATCAAATGTGGCGCAGTTTGTCAGGGGTGGTGGTTGGGGTGGATGAAGTTCGGTGAGCGGGGACTAGTTGAGTTAATTTAAAAGTTGCACCTATCAAACTGGCCAGATCATATTCCCGCGGCAGGGACCAAGGGCTGCAGATTTGTCTGCTAATGGTTCCACCTTTTGATTTGCGCGGCGTAATCTTACAAATGGTTAGAGCATTGCCGCGAAAACGTTCAGCAGGTACGCAGTAACTTTTGGAAAGACAACCGACAGGTGATTTGATTGAAAGTGGTATGATATGTGATGATAAGACTCCAAACATGCCGACCCACTGACGACTGCTAACTGCGCTGAGACGGAATTGCTTGCAACTACGCCTCGCTGCTAACTACGCTGCGCTTTGAATCACATGCACAAATAAATAAGACAATTCTAAGAAGCTGCATTCTGTCACAAATCTCACCAAATACGAAAGAAAGTCATCTCCCGATACCATAAATAAGACCGCGTTCCCTTCTGACCGCCGCTCGCCGGGTATCCCGCCAGAACGGGCCTCCTAAATCAGCGCCTCCCCACCCGTGGAGCATTATCTGCCCGTTTCTGCCCGTTCTGAGGCTTTTATGGCCGTGTGGTGTAATTTTCTTTTTTCCTGCTCGCCCCGGTCTTCTCGAGATTCGCTTCTTCACGTGCCAACTCCCTCGGGAGCCGCCGGCCGGCCGATTACGGGCGCCAAACTGAAAATGGCTCGCCGGCGGGGCTGCTGCTGCCCGGCCGGCCGGGTCGGTGGCGGCTCTGGCGGCCCGGACGCGGCCTGAGGCCGAGCCGTCGAGCTGCCAAGTAATGCCGTCGGGAGCTGTCTAAATCCGTCAGGAGTGGCGCCGCACAGCCAGGGGAGGCGATACAAACAGGAGGCCACTGGGAGCTGGATCGGAGCGTGGTGGATGACGGCCGTGGACGATGGTGGACGATGGTGGGTTATGGAGCACGGTATTGAAGAGTCCCGAAAGCTAGTGTTGGTTGTGTTAGATCGGTTGAACCTATAGTGATGGACGTCAATTGACAACAATGTATGACGTGTTATAACTTTATCCATTGCCCACCATTGAACAGTTTGTAATGGGATAAATACGTCAGAGGACGTCGGTGGAGTCCCGTGTCCAGCAGTGGACAACTCCTGTAGACTGGACGTGAATTACATCCCATTGGCGTACGGTCCTCCACGGCCGCTCCAGCCGCCGCCACCACGGAAGTCGGCGGCGGCCGACGGGCCCTCCGCAGAATTGGCAATTCCACTTCCGCAGAAGATCTGCGAGCTCGGCCGACCCGGAAAATGGACGGGCAGACCGTGTTTTCGGGAGGAACGGGGTGATTTTAGAGGAGAACCGGCGGAAAAAGGAGCCGGGAGGAAACGGAATCGGCCGGATCAGACGGTCTCACCTGTGTTGTGATTGTTGTGAGTGATTTTTGCGGTATATGAAATAGGACCTATGCTTCGCTCGCATCGGATGCTAAAAAATAATAATAACACCAAGGGCAAATGCTTCAAAATAATGTCTGTATTTAATTAAATAACGTCAACCTATGACGTACTTGACCGCGTTTATTTTCACCGCTTTAGAGCGGTCTGAAGCTTGTGCACGCATTTATCACAACGAGAGGTTCTCTAACGCTCAATCAAATGTCCACCATAAGCGTGTTTTCACTTCCAAATCATGATACTGCTGATGGGTTTTGGTTTAACACACGGTCGAGCTCGTCAGCACGCAGTCTACCGTGATTAAATCTAGTCCTCAGATTCAGACTGCCTGATAGAGGTGTGAGCTATTGGGGCTCATTTATATCGCATTATTCACCCGGGCTTTATTCATTTATTATTCCGATTCATTTATTAGTCAGTCCATTTCAGCACCCGACTACGCTTTGTGTCCAACAGAAAGGCTGAGCGTGGATAGACGTACGCAGATAAAGGAGAAATAGAAATATGTCACGGAAGGAGAAAGGAAAATCGTGAGGTGAAAAGAGACAAATGTGCGTGAAATATGGTATCAATTGTCCCTTCTTCGCCTATGAAGGCTAATTTATTACTTGTAAGACAAAATAAACTAGCCATTAGCCGGCAAATGTTTACATAAATTTTAACTCATATTGGCTGTGTAACTCATATTTTATTTTAAAGTTCCGCAAACCCACTCCAGTCAGTGCCGGTCCATTCGTCCGATCACGTGACTCGCCGCTATGACGTCACAGACCGTGTTGCTCGCCCGCCGCTCGTTGGAGGGGGAGGGGGGAGGTGGTGGGGTTTATAGATGGAGTGAGGCCGTCTTTGCTGACCAGTGTCGGCCTCAATGGTCCACTGAACTCATTGCTCGTGTTCAATGGCCGGCAGACGTCGGCAGGGGCGCGCTCAGGCGAGTCGCCAGGGGGTGTCAGAGGCGGAGTTAGAAATAATGGGGGAGTCACAGTCGGAGTCAAGGATATTGGGAGCGACTGAGGAGGCAAAGGTAGTGAGGGAAGCAGAATGGTCAGAGGAAATGTTTGAGTGGAATTGAAGTGCTGCTTCATGGGCAAGAGAAAGGCTCCGCAATAGAGATTCTGGTTGAAGAGCAAAAGTCAATAAGGAAAACTCTTAACCGCCTATGTGGGAAATATGGCTTTCGAGAAGCAGTATGCATTTCAGCATACATTCGCGGCTCGATTCGCATGCAGCACATGTAGGGCATTCGAAGCATCATCGAACGAGGAAGTAATATAGCCGCCCGGCACATCTCATATACGGCGCTGATGGAAGCCGCGCAGTTGCATCTCGGGGGCCATCGCACCCGGCCCTGCGCTCACCTGAAATGTCAGCTTGCAGTCGAGATTGCGCTCGTTCTTCGAGTGGAGTGTCGCTCCGTCAATGACATGGTTCAGCGTCTGCCGAAACCGGTGCTTGCACAACTCGGATACAGAGTCTGTGAAAGGGAGGACAATTGGGGTCAGTCCTGTGACAACGGGATCTACACAAAGAATGGTGACAGACGCGGGACTAAATTACATGATGGGTGGCGGCCGCCAGGACCCACGGATGACCGCAGGGTGAATGCCGGCTGGTCCACACGAATTGGCGTCTGGTTTGTCCTTTATCACGGATAATAGACGTGATTTATCTGAATCAAAGCAATGTATAGTGCACGCTACATCACTGTCAGACAGGCTTTGAAAAGTGGCATTTATTCGCAACCTTAGCTATCCGCATAGATACAGCCAGCGCCAGTGTGGCGGACGTTTCACTCGGGGCTCACTTGAATCTTGTAATCTACTAACCAACAAAGTGCGTTTTCATACATTGTAATATTAACTCCTTGGAACGCCAGATGCGGTCTGATTTATGAAGCTGCTCATTTCGTGTTGCTATGTAGCCGTTTCATGTGATACCACTCGCTGGGATTTCAGAATACAATAAATGTAAAGTCTAAGCCGTCCAGAAGGCTTGGCTACCTCGTAATCGAATAGAGATGAAGGCTCAGATGTCGGGTTCATCCACGGAACGCAGCATGTTTGCATGCAAAGATGCTGCATCAGCCAAGTAAAGCAAATGGGAATCCCAGAAGCTTGGCAGAGACCAGAAGAAAATTCCTTAGTAACGGTGTCGTCAGAAGTATCACCACAGTGGAGCACAACGTAATGTTTAAACGAAGGGTGCTATAAAACACAGCTAACTGGAGTGATCTGAGTGATGTGGCGTGTAAATTAGCTCTCACCGCATAACTGTTTAGATATCATATGGTCCGTCGCCTCACAAAACATGAACATTGTTTATGTGTAGGATCACACAGCATTACAAAGACGAGATTGAGCATCTTGCACACAACAATCACTATTCGCGTCATTTACAGACACCGCCGAGCATAATCCAAATAGATATGACATGGTATGCAGACAGTCTTTCTTAAACGTCGCCCTGACGGAGACAAACGGCACTTCATATTCAGATCGACTGCTGAGCATAATACAGACAACAGCGCAATCATGTCCCAGAATAGCTCACCCGGGAGCAGCGTCTCGCTACCGACGTTATTTCGTCCCGAGACGGAAGACAATCGCCCACTGGACTATATCCAAGGCGTCATACCAGCTCAAACTGAACCGTTCATGATGTTGGAGCCGCGCTTCAACCAAAACAGGCATGGAACCTCTAACTGGGCCATCAGATGGCTCATCAGGCGGCTCGTGGTGCCTTACCCACTTCAGAAGGACTTAAGGGCGTATCTTACTCAATCTAACAGAATCGGACATTGCGTCTTACCCACTTCAGCAGGACAAGAGGTCACACCTTACCCACTCCAACCGAACAAAGTAACGCTCTTCCCAACCCAACCAAGCCAGCCATTTTACCCAGCCATTTGTCTGCCATCTTACCCACTTCGAGGTCATCACCTCCGGACCCATTGTAACAAGACCTACCTTTTCGCCTGGACCGCATCCGCTCTGACCGCTCTGACCGCGCACTTGCCACCTCGCCAGTCCAACTGGACCCCTTACAGCGCCCGGCCGGACCCGCTCTTACCGGACCTCTGACTGTACCCGAAACCATTCTAACCGGACCTGTCACCTCGCCCTAACCCAGTCTGACCAAATCGGGCCCGCTCTGACCGGACCTAATGCGCTTGACGTCTCCGGATATCGCCGTTCGGACGGCCCCGTCCCGGTAGGGCGGAAGGCCCCGTCCCGGTAGGGCGGAAGGCCCCGTCCCGGTAGGGTGGAAGGCCCCGTCCCGGTAGGGTGGAAGGCCTCGGTCCACTCGGACGGCCCCGTCCCGGTAGGGTGGACCAATCTCAGCGGCGGAAGATGGGGGTTGGGTAGGAGTGGCGGATCACAGATCGACTGAGCAGTCTATCAGGGGTAACTGACGGTATTCCCTGAGTTCGTCAGGGGTAACTGGTGGCCCATCAGTCCGTCAAAGGTCCACCTATCCGTGCTTCTATCCTCAGGAAACTGAAATCCTTCTCCTCCACGCCACAACCCCCTTCCGGGCTGGACAGGCAACTTTATCTCATGCGGGCTGCTCCCTTGGAGCGGCACCGCTGCTCCCGAGGGAGCGCACCCCGTAGCCGGGTGCAGTGAGTGCCTTGGGGCTGGGTGGCCTGTCTTCTGGACGGGCTCAGCCCCGGCGACTCACTAGGGTGCCTGCCCAGACCAATGTCTCCCCCTAAATCCTATCATCCTTCCGGCTCTGCAATGGTCTTGTCGACCGAAAGGGCCTAACCCAACAAAACAAACAAAACAAACAAATCCGTCAAAGGTAAGAGATGGTGGTTGTTGAGTTCGTCAGGGGTAAAGGACTGTCAGCAGCATATCAGGGTTGACGGACGGTCCAGCAGGGAATTGAAGGTCTGTGAGTCCATCAGTGGCAACTAGCGGTCCTTCAGCCGTAACTGGCGGTCTGCCGGCGCCGTGATAAGGGATGGAATGGGATAGGATGACATGGATTCGGGTGTTGGGGCCGAGATGGCCGCGCCATCAACACCATCAGAGAATACCGGTCATTCAGAAGTCAGTCACCCATCATAACCCAATGAGGCACGATATAACCGCAGGATTGACGCCCGTCAGAGCCGCCGGAACCGCGGTCGGACGAACCCGGCGTGCCGACGCTGCCGAGACGCCCTGGATTACCACGGCGAGCCTCCCACGACAGGCGCAGGGCGGGATGATGACGTCATAACTCGTCCTGAATGAGAGACCGACGCGGCGGGTCCGTCTCTGGATGGACCCCCCCCCCCTCCCCCACCTATCCACCCCCAGATGATGACGTTCTTCAGGAGATATTTTCTACCGGAGGGATGGGCGACTGAAAACCAGCCACCGCTCACCGTAACGCTTCGCTGGCCTACCGGGTATTTTGGCATCTGTTGTTGATCAGCATTCGGTTTGAGGAAGAAACTGTCATCATCATCGCGCCGTGCGTCGCAGCGTGGCGTCTTTATAGTCGAGAAACGATCAACTGCGCCACGCCAGGCTCACGGGATCCCCGGTGTCTGACGCATTCGACCATACGCAGCGGCGGAAACTGATGACGGGGATATACACAGCAGACATGGCGCTTTATCCATGCGCGGACAGTTTAGGCCCAGGATGTTCACAGAATATTTTCATGAAAAATGGGTAGAATAAGGAAGTAAACGTTACATTATGTGCATAGTTACACGCCTCTTAGCAACTATTTTAGAATAGAGAGGTTTTGGGCTTATTTTGAGATAATCATTTTACGAGCACGTTGAAACCAAATCAAATTTGCGTATACGGTTATACCTACAGTCTCTTGACCATCTTATGCCAAGCCAATCTTATCGTGTTTTACCTTCGCATATCTTTCCCTCTTGAACAGTTATGAGCTATTCCTAGTTTTGTCCAGAGTTCGCCCCGTCCCACGTCGCAGCGCAGCACCAGCAGCCAATGTTCGTCCGCCCATTACGGAGAATACGACCATCTGGGCCTCCCATCTGTCCACTGAACAGGAGGGCTTCTCGGTTTGCACCACATCCGTCATCCGATTATATGGCGCCGTGATGACGTCACAGTCTGATGACGTCAGCGCAGACGCTGCGCATTAGAGCCGGCAGCCGCCTGTCAGCGGGTCGGCCGCCGTGAATTAGTCGTCACAAATCCACAGGTCAGGGAAACTCGGATAGCACTGCAGAATTATAGAATGAATGTAATAAATTTGATATGATATGGCTGAGACCTGCAGACTTGTTGAATTATGCTGCTGGCTAGGCCATTAAATGGTGCAATAAAAAGAAGCAGAAGAGAGAGGACTTTGCGTTTTCTGCATTCCAACGCTTCAAGTTCATGACCCATCATTCGAATCGTTATTGTAAATTGCAAGAAGTTTTATGTACCACCTTAGTGCGCAGTCTCCAAACAACTCTCGCTCCCACAAATAGACAATAATAATATTCCCGTCCAACCATCCTTTATTGTCCACTCATACAGCCGGCCGTTCGTTCACCAAGATTGGGTCGTCCGGTGCGATCGTAACCGAGACGCGACGCGCCTCTGCTGGCTGATATTGACCTTATCTGGAGTCCTCATAGACCGAGCGTCTCCCGACCAGCCGTCTTTGTCCCAACCGGCGCGCGATGGCCGGTCATGTCCTATTTCGGTACTGATTTAACCTTTACGGCTGGATGTGAGCGCAGCGTGGCGCTCGTGGCTCGAAGACGCTCGGTATCGGTGTTCAGAGTTGGACTGCTGTTTGCATGCTTGGGGTTGCTAGTTTGTAGATTTTGGGGGTTCGCTCACTCACACAGGTGACCTGCGAACTAGCCAGGGTGTGGTACAATGTTCGAATCGGAGAGAGAGATAGAGAGAGAGAGAGAGAGAGAGAGAGAGAGAGAGAGAGAGAGAGAGAGAGAGAGAGAGAGAGAGACAGAGAGACAGAGAGAGAGAGACAGAGAGGAGAAAGAGAGAGGGAGAGAGAGATATGTATATTATTTAGGTCAAGGTGCATCGATTCATGGAACCGAAAGTAGACTGCACGACATCAATAACATCGCACGAGTGATAGATTGCGTCTTTGATTGGCCGGTCACGGGTATTACGGGAACACCAATGTAATCCAATTCTGTCTATTACGATAAAGTGTCTATCCGTTACCTTCACAGAGATCGATAGATAGAGAGGTTAGATGATCTTTTTCTGTTTGTGCGTGTTATGTGCACCCATACGGGTGTTGTGTACTATAAAGTACATATGGTTTACAATCGTTCCTATAGGAACGATGAGCACACTGTATATACAGTGTGATATATATGGTAAAGGTACAGGGATTTCTGTGAAATACATCTTGTCATAGCCTTTTCAAATGCGGCAATTTTCCCTATACGCAAAAAAAAAAACGTTCGGAAAATTCCTTTTGACATTTTGTGTAAGATGCGAGCTTTTTGCTGCTTTACCACTTTTCCGTAAA